TGCTCCCCGCTCGCTGCAGCTGCAGGGGAGCGGGTGCTGGACCAGATGCAGGCCAACTTCCTGGAGCGCATGAGCCGGGTGAAGGCGGAGGTATCCAAGCTGGTGGGCCAGGCGCACGTGACGCTGCAGACGCAGAGCAGCACCACGATGGAGCTGCAGCGGCGCGCCCTGCTGGCGGGCCAGCTAATCGACAAGCTCAACTTCAAGACCCAGGACCCGCAGCAGGCCCGACCAGACACGCTGTTCTCCACTGAGGACGAGGCGGAGCAGGCGGAGCCGACGCCGGCGCAGGAGTGAGCGCCCGCCCCCGCGCGCCGGCAGCGGACACGGCGGCGGCTGGTAGGCGTGTGCCGCTGCCGACTGCCTGCTGTTCCTACCGTGACTCTGCCGGCCTACCTCGCTTCTTTTGGTCCAAAAGACTTTATCGTCTTGATATGTCTGAAAGTGAAAGTAACATTACATTATGCAGCACCCGCCAGAACAGTCAGAACAGCCAGGACGCATGCAAGGCAAGGCCCGGGCGGCAAGAAAGGATCCCCAGTCAATCCCAATGGGCACAGTCAACAACAGAAAACCAGAGGCAGCTTTGCCTCCCGCCCTCTCAGAACCAGCCGCCAGTGCCGGGCGGCGCTTCAGCGCCGCCATCCTGCTTCTGCGGCTCGCTCTCTGGCACCTTGCTGGGCAGCGACCGCGCCGCGCTGTCGTCCTGGGTGCCTGCAGCAGGCACGCGCCGCACGCAGCATGCAGCACGCAGGTGTGAGTGGGCGAGTGGCAAGGGACCTGGCTGCCAGGCTGGCTGCTGCATCATGCAGAGCTGCTGCCCAGCTGGCGGCAGGCAGGCAGGGCCGGCACGCAGCCTGCTGCCGAGGCGATAGATAGGCAAGCTGCTGGCACCGGTGGCTGCCCACCTGCCACGTTGCCTTGGCTGGCCTCGTTCTCCTGGTCCCTGGCAGCAGCCTCCACCACCTCCTCCGCCTCCTCTTCACTCTCCTCCTCAGTCCCGCCCTCGCCCTCGCCCTGCTCCTCGCCGGCAGCTTCTGCGGCCTCCTCTACCTCCTCCTCCGCCGCCTGCTCCTGCTGCGGCTCGCCCTCCTCCCCGCCCTCCTCATCAGCCAGCAGGTCAATGAAGTCCTCCCTGCCGGGGTCCTGCGGCTGGGTCTCCCCATCGCTGCCGCCACCGCCCGCCTCCTGCGCCGCCAGCGCACCGCTGCCTGGCGCCGGCAGGGTGCTGCCGCTGTACAGCCCGGCCCCCTCCACAGCTGGGCCCGCCGCCGCCGCCGCTGCCGCTGCCGGCCCCTCATCCTCCGCATCCGTGGCTCCGCCGTAGGCAGCATCTCCCTCCTCCTCCACCACCTCCTCCTCTGCCTCTGACATCGTCTCGGTGCCCGCCGCCGCCTTGCGCGCCGCCTGCCCTTGGTCTTCCGAATCCTCAACCACCAGCTCCTCCGGCCCACCCGCCCAGGGGGCTGGCACCCCAGGAGCAGGCGTGGACGCAGCCCCGCTGCCAGGCGCCTGCTGCGCCGCCGCCGCATCCGGCTGCCCCTCGGCAGCGGGTGCGGTGCCGCCTGCCTGTGCCGCTGCCTGCAGGGCGTCCCCCTCATCCTCCACATCCTCCATCTCATCATCCAGTTGCTCCAGCTCCAGCTCCTCCTGCTGCGCCGCCTCTGCCGCCTCAGCCTCCTCCACCGCTGCACCATCAACCGGCTCCCCCTCTGCCGCCTCAAACTCATCAGCCATCTGCTCATCGCCAGCAGCATCCGGCCCCGCCTCGCCAGCAGCCGCTGCCCCCTCCTCCTCGCCAGCAGCAGTCTGCCGCTCCTCCTGCTGCAGCGGCGGCGACGCCACCGCCTCCTCCTCCTGCTCCGCCACCGCAACCAGCGGCGTGGCCTGCTGCGCCGCCGCGGGCACGGTATGGGGCGCCGCCCAGGCGGGGCTCAGCATGCCGTGCGGTACCACCTCCTGCGTGCCCGCCAGCAGCCCCAGCTGGGCGGAGCCCGGCGACGGCCCCGGCAGGCGGCTGCCGTTGGAGGCGGCCAGCTGGGCGCAGATGTCGCTGCACTGCTGGCACTGCTGCTCCATGATGGCGTCGGCCTCCGCCTTGGCCTGCAGCGCGGTGGGTGGTGGGGGTGGGGGTGGGAGGAATGTCATTCACAGCTCAAGGCAGCAGCAGCGATTTGCGGGAGAAGCATGTTGATGATACATTAGGCTGTAAGCATGCTGATGTTGCCCGCTGCTTCACATACACGCCACGGAGAGTGCAGCTGCACTGTCCTGTCCTGCCCTGCCCTACCCTGCCCAGTCACCCCCAGCGCCCCGCACCCCTGCCGGCCGCCCACCTGCTGCAGTTCGGCAAAGGCTTGGGTGATGCGCTTGTTGGCGGCCTGACTGCGCTGGTTGCCGCGCTGCAGCTCCACCAGGCAGCCATCCACCAGGAGCCGGTCGTTCTGCGGGAGGCGGGAAGGCAGGTGGGGTGAGAGCGGGAGTGGGTGGGTGGGTGTTGGGGGAAGGGTTGGGGCAGCACGACACGGCTGGCAGCAGCAGCGAGGCATCAAGCAGCGGGAGGATTATGCGCCAGCAGGAGGATTGTGCACAGCTGTGGGACTGGTGCAACACTTTGGCCTCCAAGGCAGCAGGGCGAGCCGGGGCTTGCCTGCAGCAGGCGCTCGCGCGACTCGAGCGAATTGATGTAGCGCCGCGCCTCCTCCTCCGCCGCCTGCGCCTCTGCCAGCTGGCCCTCCACTGCCAGCCTGGCATCCCGCTCTGTACCCAGCTCAAGCTGCAGGTGCTCCACCTGCAGGAGGGCCAGCAGGTGGGCTCAGCGAGCGGCCTTGGCAAGGCTGGAGGGACGGCAAGCCAGAAAACATGCTGTGGCAGCGCATGCTCAAGCGGCACCCGTCACAATCAGGAGCCACCGCCGGCCTCCGGCCACATGCTGTTCCCCACATGCTGTTGCCCCACCCATCCACCCACCCATCCATCCAGCTGCTCCTGCTTCTCCTGCAGCGTGGCCTGTGCCGCCTCCAGCTGGGCCGCCAGCGCGACGCCGCGCTGCTCTGCAGCCTGCACCCCGCTCTGCAGCCCCTCCACCTCCGCCCTGGCCGCCGCCGCCTCCCCCGCCGCCGCCTCCTGCGCCTCCTGCGCCGCCGCGAGCTCCTCCTCCAGCGCCGCGGCGCGCGCCGCGGCCTCCTCACGCCCCGCACGCTCCGCCTGGGCCTCCTCTGCGGCGCGGTTGGCCTCCTCGGCCGCCACCCCGGCGCTCCTGTTGGCCGCCTCCACATCCAGCTTCAGCCGCATCTCGCTCTGGCGCAGAGACACCAGCTCCGCCTCCATGCGCCGCACATCGCCGTGAGCCTGGGTCGCCTGCACGTGGGCGCAGGCGGCAGGGACACGTGGGAAGGCAGTCGGTACACAGGGGAGCGGACTGGCAGCGATGATGATGAGGAGGCGCAGGCCAGGGTGGCTGGCAGGTGTGGTCTGGGTTGGGGCCAGGTTGAGGCAGCAGGGAAGGCAAGTAGGGCAGTGTTCAGGGCCGGAGCCACAGCAGGCAGCGAGGCGCCCCCACCTGGTCATGCGCCTTGGCCGCCGCCGCCGCCTGCTCGCGCCTGGCAGCCTCCGCGTGCTTCAGCTGCTTGGCCACCTCTTCGTTCTTCTGCTTCAGCTCATCCACCTGCCGCAGAAGCTTCTGCGGCAGCCGCTCGGGATACGAGTGGTGTGAGCAGAAGAGGGAGGACAGGAGGCGAGTGCGCCGGGGCTGGGCAGGCAGCCATGCAGCCACAGCAGCGGCGGCGGCAGCGGGTGGAAGCGCTGGCAGGTAGCAGGCAGTGTGAACACGGGCAGGGGCGCATCGAGGCCTGCCTCAGCGGCACACCTGGTTGTACTCCTTCATATGGAAGAGAGCCTGGATGTCGCCAGCGCCGCCGCCACCGCTGGCGGTTGCCTGCTTGGCGCCAGCCCCGTTGCCAGCCACAACAGCGGGTGAGGCGGGCGGGGCGCGCGTGGCGGGGGTGGTGCCACCGGGAGCACCAGCTGTGTTGCTGGGGGTGGTCTTGCTGCGCTTGGTGGTGAGCCCCGCGCCGCCGTTGGCGCTGAGCTCGCCGGGCTTGCGCTTTGGGGTGAGCGCCGCGGCGGCGGCGACAGCCGCGGGGCTGGGCTGCACCGCGCTGGTGGCGGCCTCGGGGGAGCTGTCAAACCGGCGCAGCACATACCTGCGCCAGGCAGGAGCATGCGGGGAAGCGCAGGGGCAGCGGGGTGAGACATCAGCTGCAGCGTGCTGCTCCGGACGCACGATGCTCAGGATCGCTTGCCGCAGCCCTGCGCTGCCTCCCCACTTCCTCGCAGCCCAGCCCAGCGCCAGGCCCTCACTCCATGTGGTTCTCAGGCGCCTTGGGGTCCACCACCGACAGCTGGATGCGGTCGCCCGCCCGCGCCACCGCCTCGTTGCCCTTGCCGATCCTCTGGCCGTTCAGGAAGGTGCCGTTGGTGGAAGAATCCAGGACCTTCCACGCATCCTGCGGGGGTGCGCAGGTGCAGGTGCAGGGTGAGGGTGTGGCGGAGAGCGGGTGAGGACAGGGACGGCACGGTTGGCGTGCCTAACCGATGCTCAGCAGAGGGCTCCGCACCTGGTCTGGCACATACGAGATGGTGCAGTGCTTGGAGGAGATCTGGATCCAGTCTGGCGGCAGCCGCACGTCGTTGTCCAGCGCGCGGCCAATCCTCAAGGGGGCAGACGTGCTGAGCTGCAGGTCGCCACCGCCGCCCAACCCGCCGGTGAACCCCTGCGACCGTGCGCTGCTGGCTACCAGCCGGTATGTGGCTGCCATGGCTGCCGCCTACCCGCTGATCACACGGCTATCGCAGCTCCTTGTTCCACAGGGGTGGAGCCTGGCTCGCCAACGTCTGGGAACGTGCTCAACGCTGATATTGTATTGGCGACGGGCGCCAGTATTCAGCAGTGCTTCCCCGGGCGTGCGGAGCGGCGGTTCGATCGAAAATTTTAGTGCCTGCTGAGAATGCTGCGCCTGTCAAGTGCTGAGCCCTGCAGCACCCGCCTGGATGCAGCCATCGGGGAGGTCACCTCCTGTCCTCCAAGCACCAAGGCCAATAATGGGATTGTTCAGCCAACGAGCCGCAGGTGGGTCGCCAGCCTGCCCTCCTCTGCCCTGCTCCTGCGTTATTCAAGTCTGTTGCGGCCCCGTGGTGCATGGAAGCACGTGATGAGCAGTGGACGGCGGGGGTGGCGGGGGGCGGCTCCCTGCCACCGCCAGGCGCTGCCGCTCCAGGCTCCAGGCGCACTCTTGCCTGCCCTGCCGCAGGCTGGCGGCGCTTCCTGGCGCCTTACTATGCATACAGCGCGGTGCTCATTGCGTCGTACTGGCTGACCCGCAGCTGGTTCCTGTCGCACGGCGGCCACGCCAAGTACACGCACGTGTACCACACCGGCGCTCTGTTTCAGAAGGCAAGAGGGGTGGGGTATCAGTCGGGCTGATCATAGCCGGCTGCTGAATCAGGCCGGGGCCAGCGTGGGGAGTTGCGTGTGATTGTGCAGAGGAGGGCACAAGCGCTGGGCCAGCAGGCCGCTCAACTGCCTGGCCCCAAGCTGCTGGCACTGAACCACAGGAGCGCTTTGCGGTGACGCTGCTGGCCATGGCGCTGGCTATCAAGTACTGGCGGCGGCAGAGCCTCGACTCCTTCCTGTCCGACGCCCTCACCTACAGCAAGGCACGGGCCGCCAAGACGCTTGTTTACCCCATTCACACCTGCCCTTTTCGCTGCCAACCATTTGAGTAGAACAGACTGCTGTGTTGCCTGATGAGCGGAGGACCGTGCTGGCCCTGATACTGGCCTGCAGAGCCTGGTGGTGCTGATGGTGTGGTACATGGACTGGAGAATCTCGGTCTACTACGTCTTGCTCTTCCTGGGTGGGTGGCTCCATTCGGGTGGCTGCGTCGAGTGTTGCATGTGGCGGCGGGGCTGCGGCGGGGCTGGGCATGCTGCGCATGCTGAACATGCTGCCTGGCTGCCAGCCACAACCAAGGTGGGCCTCCCACACGCGCCCACGCCTCCCGTTCCGCCCCGCCGCTGCCACCCCGCAGTCATGTACCTGGTCTTCCCGCAGCCCATCTTCCAGGGCGCCTCCGCCGTGGAGCAGTTCACACCCGCCTCCTTCCAGAGCATGGTGGCAGAGAACCCGCAGCCCGGCCTGACCTGGCTGGTGAGCGGGCAGCTGGCTGGGAGCTACTGCCGCCAGCCCAGCTTGTGTCCGATAGGGTGCAGGATGCAACGGCACCGCAACGGCTCTCTGTCCGTGCCCCACCCACTCCATGCCCCACACCTGGCATGACTTGCATCCACCGCTTCCCTGCCTTGACGCCTGGCGCAGGTGGAGTTTTATGCGCCCTGGGCGCCGCCCTGCATCCACCTGGAGCCCGTGTTTGCTGAGCTGTCGCTCAAGTTCACCACGCCGCAGCTGCGCTTCGGCAAGGTGGATGTCAGCAGGTGCGGGCAGCGGCTGGCTGGCCCGCCGGGCTGCCACCACCGTGTTTGCACGATGGGAGCAAGGGCATTGCTGGGGCTGGTGTGCACACACCTTGTGGCGTGCTGCGCGTCTGTTTGCCATGCCTGCACACGCCCTTGCGCACGCTGCACCGACATGCACCGACATGACCTGCCCTGCAGGTGGCCGCAGCTGGCGAAGCAGCACAAGGTGGCCGTGTACGGCACCCTGCCGCAGCTGCCCACCTTCATTTCCTTCAAGGGCGGCAAGGAGGAGGGCCGCATCCCGCACGTGTTTCCAGGTGGGTGGGCGGCCCCTCCTCCAAGCATGCGCGCATAGCCCCGCCATGGTTCGACCAATGTCCAGAAGCTGCAACCTTGGTTGTGCAGATGGGAGCGTGGCCACCATCAAGATCAGGAGAGAGGACATCGTCACAGCCTTTGCGCTGGACGAGTTCCTGGAGGAGGCCAAGAAGGCAGAGGGCAAGAAGAAGGCGGCGGCTCCCGCCAGGGGCGCCGGCGGCGGCAGCGCCAAGAAGAAGCATTGACTTGCGGCTGCCCTGCTGCCCCGGCTGGCCAGCAGCCCCAATGTTTGAATTCAGCAGGAAACAAGCCATTTGGACGCTGTAAAGCGCATTAATATCCGATGTGCGGACGTGGCCATGGTGGGAGGATGGGGACGTGGTAGGGTCCAAACAGATCCATTTCCCGCGCTTGGAGCGCGCTGGAAGCCCACCACCGCTTTATCTACTTACTATTCGCCTCTGCTCGGGCTGTCGGGCCTCGCAACCCGTCCCCAAAGCCGCCCTGCTGTAGTAGTGGGCCCAAAACATGTTGGCCATGTCGGCGCCCAGCGCCTCCATGGGCCAGTCGTCCGCGCTGTCCAGCCGGTTGGCGGTCCCCAAGCAGCTCGCTGCTGGTGAGTGGCAGCAGGGGGGTCTGCGATGGCAGGCCGCCCCGCCGGCGCCTCAGCACACGCGGTGGCGCTTGGCGCAAGCCCGCAGCTGGCGCCCTCATCCTGCAGCCATTCCTGAGCTAACTCGGAACTGGGTGCCCAACTTGACTAAATGGTTTGAATTGTTTGACCGAATACACCCTGCTGCCCCTTGTGTGCAGGCATGAAGTCGCGCAGCCACGGCGTGCAGCGGCAGGAGCGGCGTCAGAGGAATAGCCAGGCAAGCAGCGCGGCTGCTGGCCGACTGCTGCAACCAGCAATCGGGGGTCCTGTTGCCTCGTGCATGTCTGGCAGGCAGATGAGGCCCCGGCACACGGCGCTGGGGCATTCCGGCAGCTGACCTGGCATGAGCCTCCTGGCACTGCTGCTGCCCCCGCCGCACTCACAGCACACGCTTGCTGGCTGCCTGCAGGGCCGTGTGGTGAGCTGGCAGATCACAGAAGTGATGCGCCACGGAGGCGGCACCTCCACAATCGAGCCCGTGCCCACCGCCAGCATCACATTCAAGACCCGGCGGCGCCTGCAGTTTGGGCAGGTGCTGAAGCTGGTGGGCAGCCACAAGTCCATGGGCGCGTGGGACTGCGACAGGGCGCCAGGTGCGAGGCCTGCTGGCTGCATCTCGCAGCTGCTCAGCCCCATTCGTTGCAGCCAGAGACGGCGCCCTGTTGGTGCCAGGTCGCATGCACGCTGAGCTCATCATCCCCGCCTCTGCCCCCACCACACACTCTCGCCACCCACTCGCCCACCCTAAAATCGCCATCCACCCAACCCTTGCGCCCCCCCCCTGCAGCCATGACGTGGGTTGAGGGCGACTACTGGCTGCTCACCCTGGACCTGCCGGCGGGCGAGCACGAGTTCAAAGTGGCGGCGGCGCACAGCGGCGGCGGCTGCAGCGCAGACTGGGAGTCGGGCCCCAACCGCGTGGTGCAGGCAAGTGGGTGGCGGAAGGCGGCAAGTGGTGGACACCAGCAACCAGCAGGAGGCCTGCGTGCATATGCCTCGCCGGTTGGGCTGAATGGTCTACATGGCCTGGCTCTGCATGGATGAGGCGGCCTGAGAGCCGTCACCATCGCCGCACCTTTAACCCTGCTGGCCGCTGACTCTGCCTGCCATGCATTGGCCGCGCGTGCCCCGCAGGTGCCCTATGCTGAGGCTGCAGTGCGCGGCGCATTCACCGTGGTGTGGGAGTGGGGTGACCCCAAGGTGGGTGGGAAGCTGGGCAGGCAGCGCTCTGTGTCCCTTGCATGCTGCGCACGCGCAACCCCCGGCCTGGCGCTGATGGCGCCTGCCTTGACCTGCCCTGACCTGACCTGCTGCGCTGTGCCGTGCTGCGCCCTGCCCCGCCTGCAGACCCTGGCCGAGGAGGAGCACGACATGGAGGAGCTGAAGCAGCTGATGGAGGCGCTGGAGCAGGGCTGGGCGGCCGGCGGCGGCAACGGCCAGCAGAGCGCGCAGCTGCAGGAGCTGAGCGGGGTGCTGGAGGCGGAGCGCATTGCCAGGCGTGCCGCAGAGGCGGAGCGCGACGACCTGCGGCGCCAGGCGGAGGCCAGCGCGGCCGAGGCGGCGGCGCTGGTGCGCAACAGCACCACGCTGCGGGCCGAGTTTGAGCAGATGGCACGCGAGCTGGGCAACACGCACGAGCTGCGGGCCCAGCTGCAGGCGGAGCGGGACGGCCTGTCCCGCGAGCTCAGCGCCTCGTACGAGCAGCGCACCGCGCTGCAGAAGGAGCGCGACGCGCTGGCGGAGCAGGTGTGGCGCGCCGGCGAGCAGAGCGCCAGCTTCCAGCCCGAGCGCGAGGCGCTGGAGCGGCGGCTGCGCAGCGCGGAGGAGCAGGTGGCGCGCCTGCAGGGCGAGTGCGACCGCCTGGGGCGCGAGCTGTGGACCGCCAACGAGCAGCGCGCGGCGCTGCAGTCGGAGCGCGATTCCCTCAAGCACCAGATGCACCACAGCAACGAGCCGTCTGGCCAGCTGCGCCAGGAGCGCGACGCGCTGGCCAACCAGCTGCGCACAGCGCGGGAGCAGCTGGATGCGGCGCAGCGGGATGTGCGGCGGCTGGAGGAGGAGTCGCGCAACTCGGGGCGCACCAACCACAAGGAGGTGCTGAAGAGCGTGGGCCTGCTGCTGGCATCCATGGACTGAGCGGAAGCGAGCCTGGGAGCAGCCCAAGCCAGCCAGCCAGCCACCTGTCCAGCCAGCAAGCTGATGGAGCTGTAGGTTGCACCATGCACCATGCGCCCACACACCACCCGACCTGCTCTGCTGCCGGCCAAAAAGTAAACACCCCAACACACCCAACAACCTGATCCGTTTTTCGTTGGAATGCAACCCCCCTACCCCTCCTACATAGTGGAATGCGCCTGCCTGGCCCGCTTGAACCCCCCTTGCTGCCTGCCCTCCCCAGCAGCAGGCACCCGCCTCGCGTGCGCACACATGTCGTGCCGCGCTGAGCGCGTTACTAACTAATACTAATACTAATACTTACTAGTAGGTTGACCCGAATTTCTGTCTTCTCCAGCGCTACCCTCTGATCACTGCTTTCTTTGAATCCGATCAATCCCATGCGACCCACACCGATTTTCCTTTGTACCCTGCCACAAGCCCCTACGGCCATAACTTGGCTGGGCCCATCTAGCCCCTTGCCTGTCCCCTGTCTCCGTCTGTCTGTGACCTAGCGTTCGCCACCCTGCGTGCACCTCTTGGGCCATCTCTATCGTTCTGGGGATGCGGTTGCTTTGCCTTGGCACTCTACGTTGCTCCGTGTACAGAATGAAGAATGCATGGCATGTAAGCCACAACCGCGCAGGCACTGATGCTGGGTTAGGGAGTTGGTGTGCATTGTGTGTGCCTGCAGCATTTTGCCGTGTTGCACCACCTTGCATTACTTCGCTGCTGCAGCAGCCCACTAACCACTGCTCCAGCTCCAGCTACCACTGCTGCAGCTACAGCTACCACAACTACCACTGTAGCCATGCTGCAGCTACAGCACATGCTAGAAGTTGATTACATAGCTCTACTGTTTGAAAATGGTAAAACTGGGCAGGACAGGAAAAACCGTCGGGGATGGTTTTCACCAAGAGCGAGTATATGCCAGAAGAGGGGAAGTGAGCAGAGGGGGGAGAAGGCACATTAGCTGGCGGCGCAACAAGTGGCCGGGGAGGCAAGCACATCGCTCACAAAAAGGGAGTGGGTTCTCTTCTCGGTGGGGCATCTGTTGTACAAAATCACAAAATTGGCACGTGGGTTCGTTTATGTGTTGGACGGCTCGCTTTGGCGAGGGGAGGCACCGCATGGATGGAGGCATCCCCTCACGCGCGCCATACGTTGGCAGAATAGCGCTTGCTAGCATACAGGTGCAGCGTTTGTCGGGTGGACCCAGGACCATCAAAGGTGTGGGTATCAAGGTGCTTGCATGCCACTTGGACAGAGGTTGATGGATGAGCGGTGGGGCGGCCATCGAGGTGGGGCATCTGGCATTGAGATCCTTGCCTCAATCACTCTGCCGCATCGTCTGGGTTGGCTGCCACGTACACAGCGGTGCACAGCAGGCGAGAGTAGCAGGGGCGGCCAGCAGGATCCAGGCCGGTTCGCCTCTTTGCTGGACCTGCACAAGTGCAGCAGAGGGCCGGCCTTGTCAGCGCTTGGTTCACATCTCAGGCAGGCCGTGCAGTCTGCCTGGTCAGCCAGCGCTCCCACCTGCCAGCACCGCATCCTGCCCCAGCACCTCTCCTGCCAGGGTCTCGCGTGCACCAGAAGTGGTCCAGTCCTGCAGGCGGTTGGCAGCTCGTTGGCAATTAACGGCAGCGTTTTCCAGTTTGACAGCAGGTTCAAAGCTCCTCTGCAGCAGCCCCATCCCCATTCCTGCTGCTCACCGTCAGGCCCGGCATCTGAAAGTCGCCCAACAGCAGGGAGATGGGTCCGCTGGCATCGGCCAGGAAGTCAAGGGCACGTGTGCTGGCGGTGGCGGCGGCAGGTGCTGGCGCCGCTTCCAGTGGCGCTGCCAGGGCTGGGCCTGCGAGGGAGGAAGACGGCTGAGGGCCCTCTTTGTATCTGATGCCCGCAGCCCAGCAGCAGCTCTGTTGGACATACACAGCTGACAGCACAGTCCGCCTGGTGTTAACTACCGCCAACGCCTCATGCGGTGATCACCTGTGTGGAACAGCTGTGCTGCAGCCAGTCCGGCCACCAGCCAAGGGGCGAGCTTCTGGTTCGCCTGCAGGAGCCTGGGCATCCCATTGGAGACCTGCAGGGCGCCATCAAAGTGGCATTCAGTCCGGGCGAGTGGGTGGGCGGGCGGGCGGGCGGGCGCTGGCGGGGCCAGGGTAGACTTCTCAGGTGCGACCATGCATTGCGTGGCTGCGTTTCAAGGCATGTGACAGTCTACTGTAACAGCTTTGTGGGTCCAGAACCTTGACTAACCCCTTCCGATCCCAACCGATGATTCGTGTCGGTGGGACTCACGAAAGTGTGCCTCTGGCGCTGGCGCTCACCTGGCTCGATTGGGCACATACCGGCGCATAGCGCACACGGAACGTAGGGGCAATCGTGGTGCAGGGTGCTGCAGGCGGCAGAGTCACAACCATGTTGTCCCGCAAGGCGGCGCCCTCCAAGTGCTCAAAACGATTATTAGAGGCTCGAAGAGAATGTAACAAATGTGCTGGCCGCAAAACACTACAGCAGGCTGACTACCACATCGCTCAAATCTGCGCCCCGCTGGCGGGGCGCGCTAGCACAGCGCAGCATGGTGCAAGGGGAGCCTTCAGCCCTGCCCTTCGGTAGGTGGAGGTATTGCACATGGCTAGGCGCTACCAAACCTCACACGAGTGAATTCACTGCATCAAAGTGCTCGGTTGCAACGAGATTTGGTACCCAATCCCAGGTCAGTCCATGCGGTGGTAGCGGCAGCCCCGCGTTTGTTCCTCGCCGCAGAGCGGTGTGCCTCCTCCTCCAGCTGCCACATATTCTGCTGCCCCAGCCTCCAGCTGCACCCGAGCTCCCTCCAGTCGTTTTGCCGTTAGCTTTGCTTGCTGCCGCTCCTGAGTTGGGCGTCATAGTGGCCGCAGGTGACGCAGAAGGTTTGCTCTGGGCTGCTTAGCTGCCAGCCGCATGCCGGGCAAGGGTCCGATGCCAGGTCGTGCCGCGGCTTGCCGGGCACCACACCGCCAGGGAACTGCTGCCTGCAGGGCAGGGAGCGTGGAAAGGTTAGCCTGGGCCAGGCGACAGAGGATGCACAGATCCCAACAGCAGGTGACTGAAAGGACAAACTGACAGGGACAAACGACAGGCAGCGGCAGCTGCCACCTGAAGCACTGGTAGTACCGCAGGTGCTCCTTGTCCCGGATCGTCACCCCCTCCTGCTGGGCCAGCTGACGCTGCTCCTCAAAGGCCTCGTCACTGCAGCACCGAAAAGAGATCAAGCGACGCGAAGAGACGGGAGCAGGTCTCCCTGCTGAAGCAGGGAGGGCAATGCTCCAGCACGCAAGGCTCCGACAGGCACTGCGTCACACCTCATGCGTGTGCTGAAGTAGCCCTTGCAGGGCTGGGGCAGCCATGGCCTATCCCCCAGCTCCGTGGTGCCGCACCCAACTTCGATTGGATCCTTTCCACGCCAGCCGGTGGCACCTCAGGGAATGCCAGCCGCAGCGGCATCTTGCCTAGAAGCTGCTGCTGGGCGGCGACGCCGCTGGCTTCGGCGCTGCTGCTGCTGCTGCTGCTGCCTTGGGCGAGGGCATGGGGAGGGCAGGGCTGGACGCAGTCGTCTTTGGTGAACTGCATCGCTGCTTGAACCACAGCCGGCTGCGTGAATGGTGAGGCCACAAAGATGCCAAAGTGCTGGCCTGCAGCAGGCAGAGAAGACTGGAATGTGCATCGGGTGGGGCGCAAAGAGGCATGAAAGGCAGGCTGAAGTAGAGGGGGCTCATGCACAGCCTGCCACCCCTCACCTAGCGGCACGCTGCCAAAGCGCATGAGGCGGGCCATTCGCTCCCTGTTCTGCTCCCAAGCAACATCATCCATCCTGCATGGATGCGGGGGCGGGGTGGGGGGTGAGGGCGGTGGCTGGGATGGTTGGGCAGACAGCAGCCCATTTGGTGCGAACATGCCCCAACTGCTGCCTATGCTTAACGTGCCTATGCGTAAAGTTGTATCCACCAAACAATTCATCCGCGGCATCCCCAGTCACTGCACATGTGAAGCCCAGGGCAGCGGCCTCCCGGAGCGCTCTGCAGACTGGAAGGCGATGGGCAGCAGAAGGGGTATAGCCCACATTCGCGCCTTTTGGGCAAGTGCAGATTCCTCGAGCCTCCTAAATGCGCGGCATGCACAACAATGCATGGTGCACGCATGCCTTGCCATCATTCTATCCGTCATCAAATGCCTGGCAGCCTACCTGCTCGTGCCCAGCTGTCAGCGCGCTGCCTTGCCCCCCACCTGCTGAGCCCTGCTGGCCGCAAGCTTGCCTGCAATCTCATTGCGGAGCGCCATGCCATCAAACGTTTGCAGCACTCGCACGCAGTTGGGCAGCTCCTGCAGGACCTCTTCCAGGCTGATATCGATCAGGTGGTGCTGCAAGGCCGAGGTGCGAGCTACCACCACGGCATGCTCGCGGTCGGTGCTGACATCGCTGGCGACCACGGTGAAGGCTGCCGTCAGGCCCAGCACATCTTTGCCCAGGCAGGCCGCGATGGAGCTGTCCAGACCGCCGCTGAGTAGCACACATGCCCTGCACACGGCTCAAGGGGCGTGTGTGCATTGTGCATTTCCTCCATAGTCTAGTGGCTAGGATACACGGCTCTCACCCGTGAGACCGGGGTTCAATTCCCCGTGGGGGAAATTTTTTTGTGGCGTACTTCCGTGTGCGATATAGTATAGGCCGCGGCTAAGAAAGGCCTTCTTTGAAGGCGCTGGAGCTAGTGTCTAAACCCTCCGAGAGGGCACAGGTTCGATTCCTCCCATGTCGAAACTTTGTGAGGACAAACGCGGCATAGCTGACCGGCTCAGCGCCAATCCAAGCCAATTCCTTCGGGAACGCCTAATAGAATCGCCAAGGCTTCGGCACAGGCCTCCCCGGGACCCATTCACTACTAGTGGGGGGTACTGCACTTGGCGCGTCGGGCAGATCAAATAATGGTCTAAAGCTAGACGTTAAAACCGGGAAGTGAAGCTTGTGGAGGCTCTTCCCCACCTTTACCTTTACCTTTACCTTTATTGTGTGTTCCAAAAGGGCAGCGGTGGCGGCGGCGGCCAGTGGCAGGTACGGGTGGCGTCGCGGCCTTTACCCGGCCGCACCGGCTGCTATCCCACTGTGGGTTGTGTGCGATGTTGTGCAAGGCTTGCCGAACCGTCTCCCTCAGTTGCCGTGTGCGCACGCTATCGCGTGGTTCCGGCATGTCGCTCTTGTTTCTGTCGGTCATGTTTAAGATTAAAAGCAGCCAGCACGCTTGGGGCGCGCATGGCAGAAGATGAGTAAGAGCGGGAGAGATGCGCCGGCAGGCTGGCAGAGCGCCGCCCCGCATCATCCGCCCCGCCTCTGCGGCACTCGCACAGTGCATTTCCTCTTCGAATCAAATGTCCACCCTGCCTTGCACGCCTTGCATGCCTTCTTGGCGGTGCACACTGCGCATCTGTCTTCCCGCATCTTGGTGGGCGAGCAGGCGCTGACACACTGCAACCAGCAGGAAGTGGGCATGTGGGAAGACGGGGCGCTCAGACACCATCTACACATCAAGGTGCAGATCAGCCCTGCCAGCGCGCATCCACACAGCCACCGGCCCTCCCGCTCGGGCCATGCACACATCCCTCCAGCCCTACCCTCTTGTAGGCTGGCACGTAGCGGATCGGGTAGCGTGCCATTTGCTGGCCATAATTGGGTCGCTTGAAACAAGCCGTGCACTTCTTGCCGACGCACGCCTCGCACCAGTCATCTCCCGTCGCCCGCTGGCACCGGCTGCGTGGGACGTTCTTGCCCATCACGCGCTTGTAGTTGGGAGTCATGTAAAAGCCTGGCCCGTACCAGCATACAACGTACGAGCCCAATACCGGGCACTTGGTGTAGCCGCAGCCCAGCCGGGTCGTCTCCGCCCACAGCAGATTGATGAGGTGGCCGACGGGCATGTCGGCTTCCTTGCTGGTGCCGGGCACATCGAAATTGTAGTTCTGCGGAGCAGCAGGGAGGGGAGTGGACATAGCCACATATGGTGAGTCCCACCGGTGCGCACCAGATGGTACCTCACAGTTTCGCGCAGCAGTGCCCTGCACCGGCCCCAGGGCATATCTTGCATCGCAGCCCAGATGGTGCTGCCACCAGCCCCCCAGCCTGAGGCGCACCGTGACCTCCTGATAGAGTGCCCAAGCAGCGTAGGAGCAGACATCCAGCCCGTTGATGGGGTACTGTACCACGGGTGGCTGGCTCATCTGCGGGCAGGCAGGAAGGGGGCGGCAGCGCATAGTGTATGATGCTTAGCCCTACTGTCAGGCGAGGGCCAGTCTAGCATTCCGTTTCTGACCGATGCATGGCTGGCACCCACGGGCAGCTCACAATGCTCTCCCCGTTGCCCTGCAGGCCAACGCCGCTGGTGTGGCCCCAGGTGCACAAGTCGGCGTGCGCCTGCGCCTTGGCCGCCAGCTGGTCATCCCACACCAGAAGCTTGACACGGCCCGTGGCGCTGCAGCAGCATTGAGGAGGTGGCATACAAACCGTGGAGCATCAGCAGCGGCCATGCCATCATGGTGTGCTACGACGCTGCCGGCAGCGGCGCCCTCCTCAAAACCCACTTGTGATCCGCTCGCAGGGCGTTGTGCATGGCCAGAACTCCATTTCTAAAGTTGGGGCAGCCCTCCCCTGCAGTGCAGCAGTGGAATTGCTTGCTGTGGCAGCCAGCGGCGGCGGCAGCATGCGGTCGCATGACTGCTGCATAGCCGTCATTCCAGCGCACAGGCCCGAAATCACTTGCCTGCCGCGCAAGGGTTGATCGCGCATAACATGAGGGCTAGTAGAGAGGAGAGAAGAAACAAAGGGCAAGGGAATCCCATCTCAAGATCTCAAAGATTGCAGGCGCTCCTCCGAAAGCTTCCTAACTCGGGGTGGCAAATGGTTCGAGACACGCCGTGAGAGCGATTAAAAGATGCCGAAGTGCAGGGACGAGGCACTGACAAACAGAAGCGCACAGCATGCCCAGCGCCGACGGACTGTGTCCTTCCTTTTTCCGTTCTGTTCAACACATATGCAGAGGTTTCAAATGTACCTGCAGGCATCATGAGCCAAATGCCTTCTTATCCAGCAGAGGCTGCCGCAAGCCATCCGCCTGGCAGCCGTTGCCGCCGGCCCCGCCGCTGGAAGGCGCCGCCGCTGCCACCGCCGCGGAGGCCATGGTGCCTTGCCAGCGCTGCAATCGCTGCATCCGCACCAGCCGGGTGCCAGCTGGCAGGCAAATGCCGTCTGGCACGTACGCCAGCAGGAGGAGGAGCGGCACAAAGGCAGCGGTCTTGATGGCAGCGGTGACGAGGAAGGTGCGTCGGAAGCCGATGCGCTCGATGAGGAACCCTCCAAGTGCTGCACTCCCACTCCATGAAAACGACCGCACACTATCGACGGCATTCACCTTGCCACGGTGCCGGCGAGGCACAAAGTCCATCAAAACTGCAGGTGGTGGCGGGAGGGGCAAGGCAGGGCCTCGGTCTCATGAGGCTGATCAGCAGCTACCAGCAGTGATGCCGAGGCCAGCACTGCCCAGCCCGGCCACAGCGACGCACCCGAGCGCATGAGGGGGCGTGTGGCGTTGGCTACCGCCATCCTCAGCAGGTGAACCGCCACCAGCAGGTGGCGTGCCGGGGCGGTAGCGGTGGGCAAAAAGGCCATAGCTGCCAGCAGCAGAATGTCCAGGCAGCGAGTGAACAGGCTGCATGGGACAGCGGCGACGGCGGCACGAACAGCCACGGGTGAAGCGCTGGGGAGGGGGGGCGCGAGCGCAGGCCACCCGCTCGCAGAGGGAGCAGCGCAAGCCGGTGCGCAGCATGCACTCGCCTGATCTGCACCCGGCCCACAAACTTGCTGAGCGGCTGGCAGGCGAGCGAGGCGGCGCAGACTCCAATGGGGGACAGGGCGCCGATGAGTGAGACGGCTGCGGGCGTCATCAGAACGGATTGCATGAAGTACATGGCAAAAAACTTGATGGTCATCCCTGCAGGGCAGCAGCAGGGCACGGCTGGGGCGGATGGCATGCCACAAATGCACCCTGAATGCTGTGGTAGCACAGCGTCGGTCACCAGGCAAAGCGCAGGTCTGGGCGCCCACCTGACGCAAATGTTCCGATAAAGTCTGAGACGGAAACAAGCACCGTCACAACAGCGCCGTCTGGAAGGGCGCAGCAGCGGCACCCGCAACAGCCTGGCTCTTCCAGATCTGGATTGCCGCAGCCACCTGCCGGCCCTGACAGGCTGATCAAATCGGCTGCTGGCTGAGCTTCGGCACCCACTGCTGCGGTTGCCGAGCCATCAGCCTGGCAGATTTGGTCGGCTGGCGGCTCCAGCGCTGGTCCTGTGAGCGTGCCGCTGTTGCCGTTGCTACGCGTGGTGGGCAGCATCGGCTCACGGCCCTGCCCCTGCTGCTCCTGGCCGTGTGCCACGGTCTTGTCGTCATCAAATGCGCACATGAGGGCCAGAGGGACCGCCATCAGCGTCACACCGCTCAGCAGCACCAGGCGGCAGTCCTCTGCCACCCAGCGATTGCCGAGGTGGTGGAAGAGGGCCAGCGAGATCCAGGGCCCGCAGCTGCTGGCCGCCACGGTAACCGCATACTTCCGTGTGTATAGTCCACTTCAGGGAGTGCGGCAGTGCATGCGGAGGGAGGTTGTCGGTGGTTGGCTTCTTGTGGGGGCACACCGTGCATCCTCAGGTGCCTCACCTGCGCCCCTGCATGATGCTGTCTGCGAAAATCGCCTCGAGCGCAGCGGAATATATGCCACGGTAGCAGCCCAGCAGCGCCATGGCAGCGCCTAGCATCCACACGGTGGGACGCAGCATCAGCGCACATGCCAGCACGGCCCCCGCCACCGCGCACACAGCCGCGCCCGCTCGCAGCATGGTATCGCGGCGGTGCCGATCCGCCAGGTAGCCTGCCGGCAGGGCGACCAGCATCTGCAGCACGCCATTGACGCCCTGCATGCAGGCCGCCGACAGTAGCACGCCTTGTTGGCAGCCCTGCTTCAGAACTCAGAACTGAAGCCGCCCCAAGCACTCCGCACATAGCACTTGGGCAGGGGTGTGTAGTACAGGGCGGGCGGGCGGGCGGCCCTCGTGAAGCAGCACAGCGCTTTTACCTGAATTACGCCCACCGTTGTGTTTGATTGAGTCAGGAGGTAGAGCAGCGCCGAGAGGACATCACCAGACCGCACCGACGCCGACACATTCTCCCACAGACTCCACCATAGTGCAAGCTGCACCCCCATCCCAAAGGAATTGAGGCGGCAGGCGGGCAAGGTGAGGGAGGCGGCTGGCGGGGGACGGCAGCGGCGGCAAAGTACCGTCGGCGGCTGAACACCCCCGTTGTGAACACATTCTGCACGTCACAACGCATTTTCAGGGGGGGCGCGCCTTTATGTTATGGTTCAGCCCCATTTCTGGCCGGGCACTCCAAGCTCAGAGGCACCAGCTACCCGCCAGGCCGCTTGCATCAATCACTTCTGAGCTATTTATGCACTCAGTGCATTGTTGAAGCCACAAAGCACACCACCGCACAGCACAGCAGGCACCAAAAGATGGCGCTCCACGAATCCCCTCTTTACGCATCTCGCGGCCCAATTGGCTCTGCAGGATCGCGTAGCCAGCAGGCAAGCCTTGCCCGAAATGTCTGCCATTGCCATCATACCGGGAGCGGGAGCTGCAAGGCTTGCAGTGGGCCGTCGGGCGCCTTTCAAGAGCGGCGTGTCGGTGGTGAGCAACAGGCTCGGTGGGGCGGGGAATGGGGCGGCGCGCGCTCCCGCACACCCGCCGCTTTGCTTGTTGGGCCTCTCCTGGCGGTGCCTGTTTGCGCTTGCCGTGTGGCCAACAGTGTGCGATACAGCTGCTGAGGCAGTGTGGTGCGTTTGAATCAAGCACAGATGCTTTGTTTAAAGCCTGCTCCTCCGGTGCAGGTGCAGCCCGCCCTGCCCCGCCGAGCAAGGGCTGCCCGCCCGCTGGCCCAGACTGTCTCTGCTCGTGCGGCCACTTCCAAGGCTTACATCTGTGTTGACTGCGGCTACATCTACGATGGAAGCGATGGAGCTTTTGAAAAGCTTCCCAACAGCTACAGGTGAGCGAGTTAGTGTTGTGCAGCTAGGTGTTGTGTGGCGCTTGACACGACCTGTTTCGGCCAACTGCGCAGGTGCCCCGTCTGCTCGGCGCCAAAACGCCGATTTAAGCCCTACACTGGCGGCACCGGGCGCAACGACGCCAAGAGCATGAATGCCCGCTACGACAAGCTGCAGCGGGGCGAGGGCCTGGCCAAGGGCGGCGGCGGCGACAACAGCGGCCTGCTGGTTGGCGTCGCTGCGGGCGCTGTGGCCCTGGCTGGGCTGTACCTGTACCTGTCCAGCGTATACAACTGAGAGCGCAGCGGCTGTTATTAATGTGGGCCAACGAGAGCGGCCAAGGAGGGCAGTTCGGTGATTTCCCATGCCGTTGCGTACTCGTCGAGTCCCATTCCGACGTAACCAGAGCAACACAAGACCCCAATCTTGGAGAGAGTCCTTCGCTTTACATCTCCTCTGTATAGTTCGGCACATGCCAGCACACGACTGCCTTGCAAGGACGAAACAGGACAGCACCTGGGACTGCTTGCTGGTCAGTGTTACATGCGCGTCGAAAGGGATGCACCATGCCAAATCTAGGCAGCAGGGCGGCACTGGACGGCTTGGCTCTTCCATCCCTCACTGCTGCTCCGTGTTGGTGTTCTCCTTGCCCTCCTGCTCGTGGCTGCCGCCCACTGATGCGTCGTGCTGTGGGGCCAGCGGCCCAAGGTACTCAAACCTAAAGATAAATCCCTTGCCCAGCACAGCGAGCAGGTGTCGGCAGTCGTCAGAAAGCCCGCACGCCCGCACCGGGGCTGCGGTGGCATCGGTGGGGCAGCAGGAGGGTGGGCCTTTGCAATCGAGCGGTGGCAGCGTTGACAGGCCAGGATGAAAGCGCCTAGCAATCTGTCGCGAGCCGCGAACCAAGGTTGCAACACCAACAACAACCAACTCCGTTTCCACCATGCGGCCCAGGCTGCCACCCCAACCATCCCACCTCACCCAACACACGGATGGAGCTGACGTGTGCCACTCGGTCACCGCTCTCCGAGTCAAACACATAGCAGTCGCCTTTGCTATTGCCCTGCACGGCCCAGCAGGCACAGGCATGCAGTCAGCAATGCGGCTCAAGACCAAAAATCTCTGGCATGCAGCCCTGGGAGAAGCGGAGAACGCCGATAGCACAGCAGGCAGCACGAGGCAAGGCTCACCGCGGTGATGTATCGCCCATCGGCCGTGCTGCCAAACTGGCAGCGGCTCTGCCAGCCACTTCCCCCGTTGCAGTTGGGCACTTTCCAAGTGGCTGCCACCTCCAGCTGTGGGACGCTGCTTTGGCCGCTACCGCTGCTTGGATCGCTGCTACTGCTGCCAGTGGAGAGCCGCCACACAAACATGCGGCCGTCACATGACTTGGTGGCAAGCCGTCCGCCTGGCAGGAAGCGCTGTGAGGGGCAGCAGTGGTGGCAAGGGAGGAGAGATCGAGGGATGCAACGGGACTGCGCAGATGCAAAGTGTGCAGGCAGGCAGGTGACAGGCAGTGGCTGTGGCAGTGGCGGGTCCGCCGACACTCACCATGCAGTCTATTGTGTCGCTGTGGCAGCTGCCCTGGCAACGCAGCTCCTGCCGGCTGCCCTCGTCGATGATTGGCTGCTGCCCGCCTGTGTTGGCTGCCTCGCTGCCTGCTGCCGCTGCTACAATGTCAAACTGTTGCAGCCGCCCCTTGCTGTTGCCCATCACTACGCTGGCGGCATCAGGCGCCATGGCCTGCAGCACGACAGCAACGGGTGGGCAGGCTGGAGGCATGCAGCCAGAAGCCGGTGCAAGCGAAGCAGGGACGAAGCATTGGCAAAACGTGAATTGACCAGACAGACAGCAAACAAGTGCCATAAAGAGGGTGCGCCACACCACCGCTACTCACAACGCAGCTGGCATCGGTCTGCAGGCTGGACAGGCAGGTCTCAGACGGCACGTCCCAGAGGCGCAGGTTACCATCACGTGACAGCGAGAGCAGCAGGCGTGGCGCCGCCGGAACGGCTGCCAGCTCCACCACCTCGCGGGCGTGCCCCCGCAGCAGACGCACCACCCGCGCCTCCACCACGCTGATGACTGTGGGAGTGGTGTAGGAGCCAAAGGGGCAGGTGGTAAAGCGTGTGTCAACAGCCAGCAGCAGCAGGGGATACGCCCATTGTCAGCTGCCTGGCGGTTCCAAGCCTCCCACAGGTGGCAGTCCACACCCCAAGGCACAGCAGCAAAGGTGCAGGTGTACCTGATATGTTGGCGTCACGACCTGCCACTGCCAGGCATGCGTCACCGGCAGGGTGCTCGCTCCACCCGGCCGCGCTCAGCCAGGCGGCGGCCTGCAGCTCCCCGCCGGGCGCGTGCTCCGAGGGGGCATTTGTGAAGTGCACCACCACCGCCACGTGGTCCCCCATGTGCTCCCCATCATACACGGTCGCCTGGTCCTTGCCCACAGTGGCAAACAGGTTGCCCATGGACGTGTCGGTGTGGTTGACCGCCAGCGCATGCACCGGCGATGCGTGGCTCTCCTGCAGCAAGGAAGAGATGCAAGCGGGCACCAGCAAGCAGCCATTGGAGTGTAAGCTGGCTGCACAGAAATGAAACACTCCTGGCAAATCGGGTGGCGCAGTGGCCACCTCCGCTGCCGGCGACGTGCCTGGGCCTCCATCGCAATCCTGGCGTCCACATGCCGCCCTGCTCACCTTGATCACCGTCTTCAGCTTCAAGTTTTGCAGCGCCTGCAGTCGATAGGCCGCCAGCCCGCCAAGCCGCTGCACCTCCTCCTGCCGCGCCTCGATCATCTTCGCCGCCTCAGAGTTCATGACACACGGCGTCAAGTGATGGGCAGGGCAGAGCAAGGAGGAAGATGAGAACTGATCGGGGGCCCAAGAGCGTGCACAAAGCTGCACCAGAGGGTGATGGCAGGGGCCAGACGGCGACGCAATGCCTGGTTTGCGCGCTGTGCGGCTCTCACTCGAATTCTTTACAGCTCAGCAGTAGGGCTCATTGCCCCACGAGCTCCTCACAATGCATGCCTCGATGCAGATCAGAACTGTCGCACTAGTCATCAGCATCCTGACTGGGGCCTTGGCCATAGCGTGGCCATCGCTGCCATGGCACTTGCTGCGGAGCAAGGACAGCGGTGCTACCTGCCCCCTGGTGCGTGGCACGGTATTAGTGCACGATCCAGCGCAGCGCCAGGCAGCCGTCACCCCGCCGGTGTGACCCTGCCGGGTGCCCGCCTGTGCCGCTCACAGCTTGTGCCAAACCATCCTCACCGCTGTGCAGGGCTTTGGCAGTCTCAGCAGCGAGCTGCCCTCTCCACATGGTGACCGTCTGCCTGGGCTGGGCCCAACCGGCAGCCCGCCCACGCTGGTCCTGTATGCCAATGCCAGAGTGTGGACCGGGGAGGCCGCTGCTCCGCACGCCCAGGCGTTTGCGGTCGACTCCGCCACAGGGCGCTTTGCCTATGTGGGCAGCCGGGATGGAGCACCCGCCGCGGCACAAGAGGTTGATCTGCGGGGCGCACACGTCATCCCCGGGCTCATTGACAGCCACCTGCACTTGATACCAGGAGGCCTCAGCCTGTCCCGCCTGGACCTCAGCCCAGCCGCCAGCAAGCAGCAGTTCATCGCCGCGGTGGCGGCAGCCAGCACGCGCGTCCCGAGCGGCGGCTGGCTGCTGGGTGGTGGCTGGGACGAGAGCCGCTGGGGAGGCGAGCTGCCCAGCGCAACCTGGATTGACCAAAGTGAGTGGGGCCATGCAGGAGCCAGGAGCCCGTCCAGCTGCGAGCTGGGGCGGTGGTGCGCCCCAGCCTGCTGATGATTGCGCCCCTGCTGCCGCACATTCACGCCGCCCGCCTGCCTTGCATTGCATCGGGTGCCGCAGTGACTCCCACCACCCCGACCTGGCTGGTGCGACACGACGCACATATGGGGCTTGCCAACTCCGCTGCGCTGCGGCTGGCGGGGATCGGGCGCGACACCCCCGACCCGCCCGGCGGCGCCATCCTGCGGCAGGGAGGCCCCGACGGGCAGCCCACCGGCCTGCTTACTGATGCAGCCATGCAGCTGCTGGCGGGTATGCTGCAGCTGCAGCCAATGCTGTTGGTTTGGCTTGCTCGCATCATGGGCACGGCTTGGTGGCGACTGAAGTGGCCAGCCTGCGTGCCGGCGCTCTGCCGACGCCAGGGCTTCTTTGTGCCTGCTCTTCTGCTCTCGCTTCCTGCAGACATCATTCCACCGCTGTCGGTTGAGGAGCGGCAGCAAGCATTTGAGGCAGCGGTGCAGCATGCCCTCAGCAAGGGCATCACAATGGTGCATTGCCTGGGCAGGTGGGGCTGCGGAATACTTGAGCTCGGGAAATGGGGCCGCCAGCTGCAGCAAGCGCTTTCCGCACACACCCAGCTCGCTTTGTTCAAAGCCGTGCCTGTGTGCGCCTCTCAGACTCTGCTCTGTTGCTGCTGCAGGGTTGCATTCATGGAGGGTGAGGAGGCGGCTTGGCAGGACTTGGAGGAGGTGTATCTGCCGGCCGCCAACCAGGGCAAGCTTCCCCTGAGGATCTACGCCTTTGTTGCCCTCCCCACCTGGCAAGTGGCGCTGCCGACCTGCCTGCCCGACAGGAAGCGAGCCTTGTATGCCGGCCACCTAGCAACCGATTCAATGAATGAGCGCACTCATCTGTGCTCACCTACTGCCCGCAGGCGGCGCATGGCAGAGCGAGTGAAGCAGCTGGGCAAGGCGCACCCCGGAGGCATGCTGCATTGGGGAGGGGTGAAGGAGTTCGCAGGTATGCTCCAGGGGTGCATTGTGCGCCCGCTGGCCTCCCTGCGTGTTGGTCCTGATGCCCTGGCTTGCTCCTGCTGTGCAGATGGCAGCTTGGGCAGTCGCACCGCACTCTTCCACGAGCCTTATGCCGACGAGCCGGGCAGCAGTGGCACGCGCACCATTGAGCTGGACAGGCTGCGCCAGCTGGTGGTGGAGGCAGATGCTGCGGGGCTGCAGGTCGCTGTGCACGCCATTGGCGACCGTGCGGTCGATGAAGTGCTGGACATTTATGCCGAGCTGGCGCACAGAAAAAATAGCAGCAGCGGCGGTGTTGGCGGCGGCAGCGTGCCTGTACGTCGGCGGCACCGCATCGAGCATGCCCAGCACCTGTCCAGCCCTGAGGTGGCGCAGCGGCTGGCGGCGGCGGGGGTGGTGGTAACCCCGAACCCGCTGCACCTGCTGGCTGACATGGCGGTGCTGCAGCCGCGGCTGGGCAGGGAGCGAGCGGGGGCGGGGCGCACATATGCGCTGCGCACGCTGGTGGAGGCAGGTGCCACCACGGCTTGTGGCTCCGACTGGCCCGTGGTGCCGCTGGATGCGCTGGGTGAGGCATGCGGTGCTCTCCTCCACTCTGCTGCAGGCACATGCATGGCCGTCAAGCTGCGTTTACCACCACGCTGGCATGTATTGCGCCATGGCACTGCTGCAGGTAGCCTCTATGCGGCAGTGCACCGGCAGGCGCCAGGGGGCGGCGCCGGGCCCTGGGCGCCAGAGGAAGCGCTCAGCGTTGCTGAGGCACTGGAGGCACACACCCTGGCGGGCGCTGCGGCTGCGGGGCTGGAGCGGGAACTGGGCAGCATTGCAGTTGGCAAGCTGGCCGATTTCGTGGTGCTTGGGGCCACGCCCGGAGACGCGGCGCCAGAGGTATGCCGCACTGTTGTTGGCGGCAAGTGCGTGTATGGCTGCCCCACCTGAGCGGCAGTGTAAGCAATGTCCAGCTGCTCCCAGCACGGTGGTGTGGCTGGGGCGATCAGGCTGGAGGGATTTAAGTTTAATCTGCTGCCGTTTGGTCCGCCCGCTGGCACGCTGGCAGCCAGGTTGGCATTATTAGCGATCTCCTTGCTTGCAACCCCGCCCTTACTACTTCTCCCAATCTTGAGATGCTGCCCTGGCGGCAGGGGCGGGCGTGAGTCTCGCAAGAAGATGGTGTCACTGGCAGAAGCTGCGCGCTGGGCGCTTCTAGCGCTAGTTTTGAACCCATGTTTATGCCTGACCCTTAAAACGTCCAGCGGCACATGTGGCGTCCCTCTCCAGCCCCAATTCCTGGCCCTCCCTCGCTGCCCGGGCACCAACAAGACGCTGGGGGACGCCGAGAAGCGTGAGTGTGTGCATGTAGCGTGAATGGGAAAGCCGGATCGGTCTATTGCGGCGAGCCGCGGGCCACCAAGTACCACCCCGCCGCCGCCGCCACGTTTTTTTTGCGTACAACAATGGCCGCCAGCCACTTGGTTGAGATATGGTGTGCCCATTCAATTGGCATACCCTGGAAGTGGCGTGTCCGGGAAGCCGTTGCTCTGCCCCCGGGGCTGAGAGGCTGGGCATGCCGGTGGCCACCACTGTGTGCCCGCCACCTGGTACTGCGTCAAGTGCCCTTCTTGCAGTGGGCTGGAAGTTTGCGCCCGTCATCTACACCCACCCCATGGAGCGTTACCAGCTGCAGTCGCCCGACACCTGGTTCAACGCATCCGAAGTGTTCTACCAGGACCTGAAGAACGAGAGCCAGACCATCTTTTCGTGGATGAGCAGTGACATCACCGACACGCTCATGTTCATGCCGCGGTGCGCTGACCCTGGTGCTGTGCTGCGCTGCTCTGTTTCCAACCTGTCTTGCTTTCTTGCTGAAACTCTGCGCGGCTTGGTGCCGGTGTGCCACGGGGCGCTCACCCGACAGCTGCATTCGTACTTCACCACGCCTCGCAGGAGCTTTGTGTCCCTCATCAACTCCAGCACCACACGTGGCGCAGAGCGTTCGGCCATCATTGCCGGCGCGCCGTTTGTGGATGGCCGCTCCACCGCCCGCCTCTTCTACTCTGTGGCGGAGGTGTATGACCAGCGGGGGCCGGGGAGGGGTGCCAAGGTGCCGGGCCTGTGGATGTACACCTACCACATCTTCTACAGGCAAGCTGGTGGTGTTGGGCATGGCTGCGCTGGGCAGAGGTAGCTGGGACCACGTCTGCGGCAGCTTGGCAGTTGGGGAGCCAGGATGCCTCTCCCGCATCCCACCCTTGCCCGTGGTTGCCGCTGCCTGCCCCCTGCTGCAGCTGGAACGGCTGCTCCAACCAAGAGTTTGCCCTGAGCCTCAATGGCACCCGCGAGCTGGTGCAGTACCTGCTGTGTGAGTGCGCTGCGCCTGCCGCTGCCGTTGAGGTGGCGGTGTGCTGCCCGGCTTGATCCGCTATGCCTACCTTGCTGCCTGCCGGCCATCAGGTCCCTATGGCGTTCACGAGGGCGACTGGGAGCACATCTCGCTGCTAGTGTGCGCCGAGGATGAGACGATACAGCAGGCGAGTCGGGGCCGGTGTTGCCATGCATGTCCAGACCCAGGAGCAGTTGACTGCCAGCCAGTTGCGTGGGATTGCAGGCAGCCAGGACCGCTGCTTGGCAATGTGTGGTCGGCTGTGCTTTGTGCTTGTGGGGAACGCTCATTTCACATGGCTGCTGCCGCTGCCGTCGCCCTGCAGACTGCCTACTCGCAGCATGGATGGTGGGAGACGCGAGACTGCACCCAGCCGGGGCAGTGCCCCATGGAGGCAGACGATGTGGGGGTGATGCACCCGGGTAAGGGCACGGCTGCAGCAGCAGCAGCATCCCCACCTTTGCACCTCTGAAGGCTGTTGCATGGGGCCCCATTTCACGCTCTCTCGCTCATCCGCTCTGCGCAGTTGCTCACTCTGGCTTCGAGTCCCATGCCAATTACTACGAAGAAACGGAGCTGATGGTTTATGCCTGGAAAAATGCAACCTTCAAAGGTGGGCTGTGTGGAGCAAGCCAGCAGCACATCGGCGCAGTCGCTGCCTCGCTCCGCCTGCCGCTGAGGTGCTGATCACTGCCTGCTTGCATGCCCGGCTTGCAGGTGTGAGCCTGGACAACCTAGGGGGCGTGTGGGTGGGCGACCGCACCAAGGCAGACAGAAGCCGCAAGTTTATGCCCAACAGCACCAACGTTGTGCGGGTGCCCAGCCTGGAAGAGATTGCCGCAACGGTGTGTGCACAAAGTGCCTCATGTGCCTTGAATGCATGGCAACTGATGCAGGCAGTGAGGTTTCCACATGCCTTCCTGCCCTTCTCCTGGTGCAGAACCTGACGGGCTGGGAGTGGGCCATCTACCCAGGGAACTGGGGCGCGCCGCTTGCAAAGCAGAATACCACTTTTTATTGCTTCGACGAGAACCGTGAGTGCCTGGCTGACTTCTGCCAGCTGCTGGTGCTCGAGTTTACACTGGGCTTGTCTTCTCTGCAGCAAAGGCCCCACGCAGGGCCTGACAGTATTGCTGTTGAGCTGCACACACGTGCAGAGACCACACTGTCCAAGTGCCTGGAGAATGCAGCATCTCGGGCGCTGCAAACCACCTTCAAGCTTCTGGACACGTTGTCGCTGGCAACTGGCGGCGGCAGCCTCCTCCCAAACACTGGCCTAGGGTACAGCGTGCCGACGGTCTGCCTGCCTGCTTGCGGCAGACAATGGCATGCTGCATCAAGGCTGCGGCCTGTCCCGGCCTGTGCTGCAGATTTGATGAGGAGACCTATCAAGCGCAGGCTTCCAGCAACAACACGTGGGCCGCGCCAGGCGCCATCACGGGTGGGTGCATGGCCCGGCAAGGCACTGCCTGGCATGTTTATTGGTGTTGCAAGCACAACCCCGGCCCGTTGTATTGCATGTACTGCGTGCAGGCCCACTGTACCGCACCTGGACCTACCAGTGGCTGCCCGAGCGCCACTCCCCCATTTTTGACTCATTCAAGGGCAATGAAACACTCACCTGCCCCCAGGATGCCCAGATTACGCTGGCGTTCCCAGAGTGAGTCCGGGCATTATTGGGCAGCTATGCCGTGTCCAGTGCAGCTGGTTCATCATTAGATGCACACCGCCAGTCGCTCCCCAAGGCTGCAGGGCGGCTGCTGACGACCATGCTGTGCTGCGCTACCGGCCACTCACCACTGCGTTTCATGCTGTGTGTGACTGTGCTGTGCAGTGTCAGCGATTTCCGCACCAGCACCTCCATCCAAACCATTGTCAATTACCTGGTTGGCATTTGTGTGGGGGCCGTCGTCATGAGGCAAGCCTCTGCCGGCCAGCCTTGGGCCTTCAGCACGTCAGCGGCGGTGGTGCCTTGTGGCGCCCCTGTCCTGCCGCCTGTCTGCACGCAACACCCCGCCCTGCTTGTGTGTGCCCGCCCACCCCCCGACACGCCCTGACCCACAGTGCCGTCTTCATCCTGCTGCTGGCGATCCCGGGCCTGGCCGCAAAGACACTGAGGGCCCCCAAGATTCTGTATGGGGCTGTACGTTCTGCTCCCGGCGCGTTCAAGTCCGTAGCCAATAAGATCAAGGATGGCAGCAGCCACGCTGGAGGGAAGCCAGCGGTAGTAAGCCCTCCAGAGCAGCCTGCCGCTGGTGGCACGGTAGCGCCCCCTGACGCGGACGCAGCTGCCCAGCTGGCTGGCCTGAGCCGCCCTGCGTCAGCCGCTCAGATCGATGTTGTTGTGCCAGAGACGGCCGACGAGAGCACGGCAAAGCTAGTGTGGCTGTTTTGGGCGGGTGCGCTGTGGGTTGCTGCAGCCGTCCTGCTGTCGCTGGGCACGGTAAGTTGCCAACAGCACATGGATGGGCGTGTCGGTCGCGGCCAATGTGCCACCACACCACTCGCGGCAGTCAGCCAAGTGCCGCTCACCCTGGTTGCATTTCTGGTTGTGCAATCCTTGTTCAGCGCTGCCATGCCACCCCGCTCCTGCAGGCCAAGATGATGAACAACTCAGTGGCGTCGACCGCAGCGGTGGGTCCAGCGCTGTGCCGAAATGCCTGCCGTCAATCGGCATACCCATGCAGGCCTGATGCACGGCAGCGCCACATGCGTAACCCCAGTCTCACTCCCTTGTGCCTGCACCCTTCTCCTCTGGCTGCGTGCAGGAGATCTTGGGCACCACGGCTGCTATCCTGGCCGTGCAGTGGTTGGTGATCGGCTCGCTCATCATCACGGCCGTGTGCGACCTGGCGTCCATGTTCATGGTTCTGCTGTCCCACAAGCCCACCCTAACTTTTTGGCGCTGGCGGTACGCTACAATTTGAATACTTATTTGAATATAGTTTTGAACTTTGTCCGATGCAAAACAGCTTTCCACCGGCCCACCACCCAAGCACTGCTCCCTGTGCCGCAGCGTTCGCAACCGGCTGTACTCCGAATGGGTGCACCGCCATGTGTTCCGCATAACGGTCGCGCTGGCTGGTTTGATGGTTATGGTCATCTCACTGGTGAGCGCTGGCAAGTGTGGGGAGCCCTTCAATGTGTTGCTGTGATGGCAAATGCCAAGCCTCTGCCCCTGTTGTACGCGCAGGCCTGCATTCTGTTTGGGCTGGGCCTCATCATCGTCACCGTCCAGCTGGCAGTGCGGCTGGCCTGCTCCGAGATATCCAGCCTCGACGTCGACCAAATCACCGTGGACGCTGTCTGCCTGACCATTCCTGCCATCTCCGGTGCGTGCCATGTTGCTCTGCTGGTGCGCAGAAATATGTTTAGCCTCGCCCAGCTTTAGCCCTGCTCAGCCTGCCTGACCGGTCCGCCTGCAGACGAGCCCATCTGCGGCTGGCAAGTGTTGGAAGTTTGTTACGACGTGAGTGCTGAAGCGCTATGTTCTAGCATGCCGCGCTAGCTTGGCTGCGTATGCATGGGGGATGGCCATGATCAGCCCATGCACCGGTGCCCTGCTGCAGATCACCAACATGGGCGTGCTATCCCTGGTTCTAGGGGCAATGTTTCTGCTGTGGAGCCACATTGTGTGAGTGGCAGGTTCATGGAGCCATGTGCAGGCATGCTGCCTGCTCTGCCTTGGTGGAATCCAGCATGCTGCCCTCATGCGCTGCAGGTGGCTCATCCTGCTGCTCCTGAGCATCTGGCGCTATCTCGACTTCAAGATCGTGCTGCCCCAACAGCCGGCGGCAGCAGCCGGCGACGGCAGCTGCGCCAGCGGCAGCGCCACCGCCAGCAGCAGCGCCGCGCTTGCAGCGGGGGCCGAAGCAGGGGACAGTCCCAGCACAGGCGACGGGTTAGAGAAGATCCGGGTTGCGGTGGACGCCTCACCGCTTCCTGCTGCTGGCTTCAGCAACAATGTTTAGCGAGCAGGGCCACCCTTGGGGTCCTGCCCAGAGAGAGATACAACACAATAATTACACATGTTTCTCAATGAGGTCCACCTGCGTTTTTTCCTGCCTCCCCTTGTCTCGTGCACATTGCCTTCTATCATTGGCTCACTGGAGATCTTGACTCGAACACGCAGAGCCTGCTGTTACATTATCTCATTATATATCTTTGTGCGCTTCGACTGAGCCTAGCCTACACTTCGATTGTAATCTGACTCCATCAAGGCTGCCAACCGCTGATGATGCCGGAGCGGGCCATCAGCCTCAGCGCCACACTCTTCTGGAGCTGGGCGGTAAGCCTGGCCCAGCGCTGCTGCTCGTAGCCTTCGCAGCCACCCTCTGGCGGCGGCTGGGCGCTTGCGCTGGGGGCAGCTGAGCTGCACGCCGCGCCGGCGTCTGGTTGCCGGGCATCTTCCCTACTGCCCTCCAGGTGGGACTCTGCGGTGCTGCAGACCTGCAGCTGAGCATGGTACGAGCGGGCTGCTGCCACTTCCACCATCGCCGCCATCAGGCGGTCGTCAACTGCGGGCAGTTGTTGCTGCCGAGAGGCTGCTGGTGGTTGCTGCTGGGACTGAACGTCCATAGTCATCTGGACAAGGCCAACTGCACGCAAGGCAGAGCCACAGTGGTGGGTGCCCGCATGTCTGGGCGCATGTGGCGAGGCATTGACCATCGGGTCACTGGGAATGCCACTGATAAGTATCCAAACGCATTTCGGAATTCAACCCGATCAGCGCGCTTCAGGCCGCACTTGCTTAAACGAGTCGGGAGCGCGCGCTTGCGGGCTTCGTGAACAAACCAACGCACGGAGCACAAAGTACCTCAATGAACCGCCACGCACTTGCAACCGCAAGTAAGCGTCCAGGCGTTGAACTCGATGCGCCAATGCGCCTAGTCAGCGGCGGCGGTCCGACAGGCACCCGCGCCTGCCTGGGGCTTCACGACCGCAGCACAAACCGCAGGACGGTCTCTGCCTGCGCCTTGAGCACTTCCTCTGGGAAGCCACACCGCTGTGCCAGCCAGGGCAGCACCGGGCAAGCCGCGGCATCTGCCGGCGGAACTGCCAGGCTGAATGCGGCGCCCAGGATGGCCCTGCACAGGCAGCAGACTCCAGCACCAGCAATCATCCAGAGTGGGAAGCATGCACAGACAGAATGACACGCACAGATAGAATGATTGACGGGCAGCCATCTAAGCTGCACTGCATTGCACCGACGGCAAGCACGCCTGGGCAGGAGGCAGCGGAGCGGAGCCGCCATGCGGCCGGCCCTCACCTGCCATCAGCTTGCCGCCTCGCGACAGCGCGCCGCCAGCGTACGGGGAGCCTGCCGAGTACAGCAGCTCCAGGATGGCGCAGCAGGTGCCCAGCTCCACTGCGGCAAATGCTGCAAGGTCGGCCTGCACAGGTATGCAAAGGAGCAGCAGGGTTGGCAGCCTCACTGCGCTCCATGCACCCTCGGTGCACGCACCTGCCCCTCCTCTCTGTGGCCCGCTTGCCTGCAGCTGGGTGTGGAGAGCGGTCAGGTGATCATACACAGAGGGCTCCGCCACCTTGTGCTGAGCCGCCACCTGCGTCGCCGCCAGCAGCCCCTCTGTGCAGAAGCAAACGTAAGCGTTGCCCAGCACCTTGCAGGCGCTGCAGCGCACTGCCTGGAGGGCGGCTGTTTGTGCCTCAGCTGCACCAAGGCCGGCCGCTGCCCGGCAGCGCTGCAAGGCCACGCACACGCAGGCGGCCGCCGCCAACAGCACCGGACCCTCGGCAGCGATCTCCCCCGCTCCCAGCGCTGCTGCCTCGCCCACTGGCAGGCGCTGTTTGTCTGCAAGGAGCTGAAGGGCTGCGAACCTGGCAGCTGTGGGGGCGCGCACTGCACTGCACAGGCACAACAGGGCAGCAGCCCCCCGCTCTGGAAGGGTGTAGGGCGGCTGGGGCGGCATGCTGGGACTTGTGAGCGACAAATGAGCCAGGGACCTGACAAGCAACCTTGAGCCCCACTTTCTTTTCGTGCGCCATCTCCTGCCTTTGATATCAGCCCTTGACCGGTGTGCTCACACTGGCAACTGGCAGCAGCAAGTATGGCAAGGATGGCAGCAAGCCGCCTGGGCGTTGGGCCCCCGACGGCGCGGAGCCACGAGCTGCTGCAGCTTTGGCGACCAGGCATGCGGCAGTGCAGGTTCCTGGGCCATACATCAACCGATCCCAAGCCCAGAAACTTGAGGACCAGTGCAAGAGCTGCCGCAGCACTGATGGCAGCGCTCGCAGAGGCGGGACCCGCCGCCGCCGCCGCCGCCCAGGGGGCGGGAGGGTGTGCAAGGCCCCCCTAGAAGGAGTTGCCCCTCTCTCCTGGCGCTGATCGTCGGTGACCGTCCCTTCAAGTCCACGGACCCCCCAATTAAGCCCTTGGGCCAAAGATTCGGTGATCTGCACGACACGCAGAGCACAGGTCAGGGGTGATAGCACTCCCCACACGCTCCCCGACACCTCGTAAACGCTGGATCCCTCGCAAGCGTCTGTCCTTGGTGCTGTTGGCGAAGCCGCCCCCCGTAATCGCTCGCTCCCGCCCTTCATCTCTTCGAGCCCTACTTGAAACATGATGGCTGCTTCCCTCTGCCCCAAGGCCCCCGCTCTTGCACGCCCAGCTGCTGCCCGCAAGGCCGCCAGGGGGGCAAAGCCCGTCGCGCCACGGGCAACGATGCGAGACCTGCGAGGCGACGAGTTCGACTCCAACCAAATCCTCGGCGGGGAGTGGACGCCCACATTGAGCTGGTGAGCTCCCGGGGGCCGCTGAGGCAATTGGGACAGCCACCCGCCGCCGCCATCATCCCCATCATCAAGGGGGGTCCCAGCCAAGCTGCCATCTGCCTTGGTCCCTCGCAGCCATTCGCCTGCTTGTCCACCATGCATCTGGCATAGTGCTTGCCTGCGGTGCCAGCTCTCGTCTGCGTCGCTTCCCGCCTGTCATCCCACAGGCATCTGCCGCAGCGCTCCCCTGCTCAAGAGCTGCGCCTACACCCCTGCCGCCCTGCCGCAGGACCCTGCCCACCACCCGCGTGGCCAACACCTCGCAGCACACCACCCTGCCCCGCGGCCACGCCGACGAGGAGGACAGCTTCGAGCCCGGCAACGTGCTGGGCGGCGAGTGGGACGCCCGGTCCTGGTGAGTGGGCGCTTTTGGAGCAGCAAGCTTGTTGCCACTCGCCTTGCGACCCGCCGCTCCTGTTCATTCCCAGCTTTTCACCCCCGCACCCCACCCCAACCGCTCGTGGCCGATGATGCAGCTCCCTGGCGAGCTATGACGATGTACTGGAGCACTTTTACTCGATGAAGCACCCCAAGAAGAGCTCCAACTGATGAGCCTGCCCCGCTCCCTCCAGCGTGCCGCCGGCCACCGCGCCCCTGCTGGGTGCGTGCAGCAATGCAGGCGCGATCCAGCGCCACCCGCAACGTATCGGTGTCGCTGGATCGGCCTGAAAGGCCCCACGTGACACATATACACCATGCGTGCTCGCCCATTTTTCAAACGCCCCCCCAAGCCCCCAGCCCCCAAGGCGCCGCTTCCCAAACCCATGATCTGAGCAATGCATTCCATTTTTCTGTTGGCCGCGCCTGATTGCCCCGCCTATTCTGTTGAGAAGAACCCACCTAAACAGATACATTCTTCGACAAGGGGCCTGCTCGCTGCTGCCCATGTGTTTAAGTACCTGATTCAAGCCACTTCCCCATGTGCTCCGGGGTTACTTCCCGGATGTGCCATTGCTGCGCTTCGCCGCGTGTGACCTCCTGTGCTACTACCGCGTCTTGCTGTTCCGCTGTACCAATGCCCGCTGCTGGGCTGCTGGGGCGTTCGATCGACTTGTAACATCTAGCGTGCAAAACACATTCAGAAAGATGCAGCAGCATCGGTTGGCCACACGAGAAAATCATACCGTTGGCCGCACGAGAACATCAAACAACGACACGCAGCGCTCCTCGCTCAACTTGTAGCAGGCAAGAAACAGGGGCATAGCAGGCCTGCCACGACAGAAGGGGGAAGGACAGGAGCACAGCGCAATGGCACTCGAAAGTGTGTGAAAACTGGCCCATGGGAATTCAGTTTCTGTTTTGAGTTGCGGATGCTTAAGAAAAACTGGGCTGCAGAATCGCAGCACCGAGACGCTCAGACCAATGTAGCACGCGAGCTCACTTGCGCCCGCCCCTGCCCTTCTTCTTGCTGCCGCCACGCTTCTGGCTCTGGCTCTTGGCGGGCTGCTTGGCGGGCTGCTGCTGCTCCATGGCAGGGGTGGCAGCCGGCACAGGCTCCGTTGAAGCTGCCACAGGCTGCACATCCACCAAGGCCGCATGTGGCTCAGCAGCTGGGACTGGTGCAGGCGGCACCACGGGCTCTGCGGCCTGCTGCAGCACCTCAGCAGCGGCGCTGATGCCTTGCTGGAGCACAGCAGTGGCCTCCTCCTCGCGCGGGGCGGCGCGGGGCTGGTTGACCTCAGAAGAGTCGCTCTCTGCCGGCACAGATGCCCCGATGGCTTCGGCAGAGCTGGCAGGGGAGCTGCGCTTGGCCTCAGCCTTCGCCACTGCATCCTGCAGCTTGACGCTGACGGATTCGGCTGCGGCGGCAGCGGCTGCGCCTTCTGCCGTGTCGTGGGCGCTGCCCAGCAGCGGAGCCGGGTCTGGAGCGGAGCTCCTCACTGCGGGCGATACGGAGGGGTGCAGGAGGATGGCACATTGGCATGAGGGGTGTGTAGAATGATAGAAGGGAGGGTGCAGCAGACCAGGAGCAGGCGGGTTCGAACGGCCAACAAAGCGACGCTCGTGCGGCACTGCCGATCGCATGGATCGCGATCGCCAGCAATAGATGACGATTGGAGGCTCACCCTGCTTGCTCCCGCAGCAACCCATAGTGACACACTGACGTGCAAGGCGGAGGGAAGGGACGCACAAGCCGATGTGGTGCGAAGATATGGCAGGCAGGCCATCAATTGAGCTGTCCTGGGCACCGGTTCAGGGCACGGCGTGGGCTGTGCCCAGTACGTGGCGCGTATTGCCTGGCGGGCTTTGAAATGGTTGAGGGGCCTTTAGAAATTGGGACACACAAATGGCAGAGGGATGAAATAGGAGAAAAATTGGGGATGCACATGCAAATGATATACAATGAGGCTCATTGCCGCTCTCAATCAGCCGCCGCCGCGCCCGCCATCGCGGTCGCCACAATGTCGCGCCCTGCACCTGCCGCGTAGCTGGCCAGCAGGTCAGCGTCGCGCAGCAGCGGCTCCAGCCTCAGCCGCCCGCTCAGCTCCACACAGAACTTGAGCATGCCATCAAAGTCCCAATTCTCGCTGGAGAAGGGAAGGGGAGGAGAAGAAGAGGCATGCATGTGGCGGGTGCGTGCGACGGTAGCGGCAGGTTGTCCCCATGCGCTGCAGGCGGCATCATAGTTGGTGCGGCTGGGATCAGCAACATTTCCCTGCCCAGCGCTTGCCTGAGTATTGTCCTGCGGTGGTGCTCCAGCACAGCGACGCACAGGTAGAGGTGGAGCCCCGGCACGCCCGACCAGATCGCCTCCCACAGCCGCAGCACCTGCGTCGTAGGCAGCCGACGGCATGTGCACAGGGCTGAGACTCGTCTGAGCGCAACAGAACAAAAAATCCCACAGGGAGCATGCAGAATCAAGATCACAAGACCAGCGCCCAGCCCGGCCATCGAACCTCCTCAAAGCCGAACTCCCGCTTGAAGTGCAGCAGCAGCCAGCGGTAGCAGAAGAAGAAGTTGAGGCAGTCGTGGGCCTCCAGGTGCGCATACAGCGGCGGGTCCAGCAGCTGCACCAGCGACCGCAGCGCCAGCAACTGCGCGTGCATGGCCCTGCAGCGGGGCACGGGCCGGGATGGGCAAGGCCGGGCAAGCGAGTTGGGCGATGTCCAGGGGCGCACCAGCTGCCGGCAGGCGTGCAAGCAATCAGTGCCTGGTTTCCAAACAACCATGAACGACCAAAGGGCAGCCAGGCCACAAAATGGGCTCTGAGCAGGGCAGGGAGGCTTGCTCACCGCGAGTCGCTGCAAAAGTTGGCTTCCATGCGCTCCATGAGCGAGGCAAAGCACCAGAAGGCCTCCGCCTCAACCCCCAGCGCATCCGCGTTGGCCAGCTGCCCGCTCTCCGCCACCGCGCTGCGCATCACATAACTGCGAGCAGCGGCCATTCCGCAAGAGTTCAGGGCCGGGTGAGGTGGGCAGGAAGCTTGGTAGGCTTGGCTAGCCACGTGCTGACCCGCTGCCAAGCTCACAAGCCCATCCTGCGCAGCAGGCACACGGTGCTGCTGCATGGCGGCGCTCACAGGCAGGGCGCCGCCAGGTCGCTTTGCCCCTGCACGTAGCCAAGGTCCTGGTTGTACCGCTCATAAGTCAACAGCATCTCGCGCAGCATGTTGTGCGCCTGGCTCTTCTCCCGCGCAAAGAAGCGGAGGCCACGGTCTGCAGGAGGCGGCGATAGGCAGGAGGGCGGGCGTCGGGGCGAACAGGCTGCTGGCGCTGGCCGTAGTGGCACTGCGGTGTTGCTGGCACATCGGAGCAGGGCTCGACAGAGGGAGCAGAGCAGCTGTGGCCACAAACACACACACACATGCCGCGCTGTCGTGGCCCACCCGTGCGCCGCACGTCCTTGTCGATGCGCGTCCGCCGCTCCCGCCACTTGCTGCACTTGGCCTCCTGCCCCGGCAGCATGGTGCGCCACTGGCTGCGCAGGCGCTGGAAGGCCGCCCGCCGCTGCTCCACCTCCTCCTGCCGCTCGGCCCTGGTGGAGCCGGGGGCGTGCAGTCCCAGCAGCAGCTTCCAGGCCTCGGGCCGCGCCTCCGCCTCCACACCGCCGTCGTGCACGCGCTGCTTGAACTCGGAAAAGTTGGTCATGCGGCCTGCGGGGCGGGCGGGCGACACGGGCAGCACAGGCATGGGCAAGGCGGACGCCAGCCACGGTGTGGAGCTCGCGGCGCGAGCCAGCCGGCATCCCACCAAGCCTGCCATCGCATGGCAGCAGTCAGCATGCGCCAACACCGTGCTGCCTGCCCAGCAGCACTCACCATCTGCATCGAAGAAGGTGTGGAGCTCAGCCAGGCTGAGCGGCGGCGGGGGCGGGCGGGCGCGGCTCCACGGCGAGCCGCCCGCCGCCGCCGCGCCGCCGCCGCCCTCTATCAGCTCAAACACCCCCAGGTCTGTGGAGGCCTCCAGGCTGCTGCGCCGCGAGTCGGGGTCAGGGGCCGGACCTGCCGGCGCCGCTGCTGTTGCAGGGGTGCTGCTTGCTGCCGCCGCCGTCGCTGCCGCCGCCGCCGCGGTGGATGCTGCCGCCGTCAGGTGCGGCTCGGCCATTGGGCCGCCCGCCCCCATCAGCATGCTGCCGCTGAACAGGGAGGAGGCCGTGTCCCTGGCGTTCTGCGTGAGCTGCTGGAAGCGGTCGACAAGCTCAGACAGCTGGGCCCGCAGGCTCATGTCGCCCTCAGCCGCCAGCGGGCCTGCAGGCGGGCGGCATGGGCCAGCGGGCTTGGCGATGCAGGGAGCGCCTGGCAGCCGGGGAATGACTCATGCAGGGAATGCGCCATGCACACCCACAAAACGCAGCGCCAGGTTCCGGAGCGCACCACCCACCCGCAAAGGGAGAGTAGGTTGAGGATGCGCCCGCCGGCGGCCTGCCCACCAGCACATCAGTGAGCTCCAGGGAGCTGCAAGGGGGCAGCAGGGACAGGCGGCGCAGGAGGTGGCAGGGTCGGCGCGACAAGACGCTGGGTACGGCTCTCACTGCAGCAGCCGGATGCATACTGGCGCTCGGCTGACTGCCCGCGTTGCGGCTGCTGCTGCCCCGGCAGCCACGGCCACGGCCACGACACAAGGTGCCCTGCTGCTTCGCACTCACAACAGGCTGCGCTGCAGCGGGTCTGTGGTGTCGTTGATCAGGTAGGTGTTGGGGTCGTCGGCAGACCGCACCAGCGGGCCGTGCTCCCGCAGGCATGACAGGAACGACTTGATGCCGCCCTGCGACCGACAACGATGGGGGGCGCCGGCAGGCAGGGGTGAGGCGCAATGGGCGGGGTGACGGATTGGTTTGCCATGGGGCGTCAGGCGTCGCATCAGGGGCAAATCACAGCAGCTGATCTGTGCAGATGCTGGCAAAACCGTGCGCACGTTTTGGAAGTGGAGGGAGGGCAGCGACACGCCGGTGGCCAGGGTGAGGGTGATGCGGTGCTGCCCCAGCGGCGGCGTGTGCTTATGGATGGCGCGCACATCGGACAGCGGGATGGGGTGCACCTGCAGAGGCACGGGGGTGGTGTTGGGTTGGGGGCAAGGCAAGAGAGGCGAGGCAGCAGAACTGTTGGGAAGGCAAGAGAGATGAGGCAGCTGGGTGGATGGAGCAGGGGAACCACCGCAGGCGGGCGGGTTCGAGTCCCACCATCGCACCCCACCCCAAGCCTGGCCCAGACAGCTGGCGTGCTACCCACCGCATACATGGTTCGATCCTTGGCGCTCTCCACGGCGCCATTGCCGCCGCCGGCATCCCCCCGCTGCCCAGCGCCGCTGGCGTCCTCCAGCTGCACCGCGCCCGCGGCGTACGGCAGCCAGCAGATGAACAGGCAACTGCGGAGCGGCGGGCGTGGCATGGCGGCACGCTTGGTAAGCCGAGAGCAGGAGCCCCAAACTGCCGGCTGTTCCACGTGTGGGGAAGGAGCCAGCTGGTTCGGCTGATATGAGCTTGACTGCGGCAGCATAGGGTGAGGCGGCACATGCTGCCCGCTCCAGCCCACCCAGCCAGCAGACAGCAGGCCCAGTGGCAGCTCACTTGTACTGCTTGATGAGTGACAGCCTGCCCAGGATGCGCTGGTGCCGGCTGGCGGTCGGGAACACGCACACCCCCTCCTGTAAGCATCAGGCGGCCACGCAATCAGCACATTGCGCATCAGTCTCAGGTGGAAGAGGCGATCATTCTGTGGGCTCGCCAAGCGCACGTGCGCTGCTGCCAACCACCAGCGCCACCCACCTTGACAAAGACAACCTCTGTGTCGGCTCCCCCCACATCCTCCCCCACATCGCTGTACTCATCGCTGGACGCGTTGGCCGCGCACACACCTGGAGGGGGCATGATGGGCGATGCAGGCATGCAACATGGGAGCGTGTGATGCAGAGTACGCATGCTGCGCAAAGCATGCCCGTGTTGGGAGCGGGTGGCGGGCGGGTGCCAGCAGGACTGGCCATCCAACCACTGCTGCGTGCACCTTCATACTCGTCTTCGATGTCTGCAAGCAGCGGCTCATCCATGTGGCTATCCGCAACATGCTCATCCAGCGGGTGAGAGGCCAGGCCTTCACTCGGCAACCAGTTGTCCCGCACCGCCGCCGAAAGGTTGGGGTAGCCTCTGCCCAGCTCGTGGCGCCCCGTCATGCTGCCCTCCCGGCTGATGCCGCCGGGCAGCCTGTCCTGCGCCGTGCAGAGCAGCCCCTCGCGCACCTCCGGGCCCTGCACCTGCGGCGGCGAAGTGGGCGGAGCTCGAGTGCGCCGGCGCCCGCACAGTTGCGGTGGCGCAGGGCGGCAGGCGCCCTGCCCATGCTCCCGGCACCTCTCGGCTGCACGGCGGTGCGCTGATCACACTGACCCAGCCCGGCAGCCCAAACCCACCTCCATGGAGGTCAGTAGGGCTTCCGGACACTGGGCTCAGCCAGGCGCGCTGCTGTTCAGGCATGCATGTCGGACGATGCACTGGAGGAGCGCCAGTTGTCGCGCTTCAGTTCCCTCCGACAGGCGAGTTGTCACCCATGACAAGGGAGTTGTAAGCCTGCTGGGCACCTTGAAATGTTACAAGCAAGTGATCCCAGACCGACAGGACAGCGCTGGGAACCGGAGAGCATCAGAGACTTTCATGGAGCCAGCGGGCAACACGTGGCGGCGACAGCCGCCCGGTTTGTTGGAACAGCAGCTTTCAATTTAGCTTAACAATCCCTACAATCTTCCGATTAAATCTCAAGTCTGTGGTACAAGATACAGTCCAGGTTCCCAACCTGCAGGTCAGCCAGGTTCCAAGTCTGCCGCAAGCCGCCCGTGCTTGTCGCGCACCCGTTCCAGGTCGGGGCACGCCAGCAGCAGGGTGGCAGCCACCCCGGCATGCCCCTGCACCGCAAGCGCGGCAGCATAACATAAGCCATCTTGAGGTGGAAAGTTGATGGCAATGCAAGCGCTGCTGAATGACGGGCGGGGAGTTCAGTCGGCACCATAGACCCAAAACCCCAGTAGTCACATCCCGCCTCGGCTTACCTGCTGCACGGCCTTGTGCAAGGCAGTCTGCCCGTCGGCGTCCTGCAACCTGGCATTGGCCTTGGCATCGAGCAGCAGCCGCACCACGTCTGCGTGGCCCATGTAGGCCGCACGGTGCAGCGCGGTGGCGCCACCCGATTGAGTGGCAGCGTCTGGGTTAGCGCCCAGCTGCAGAAGCAGCTGCACTACATCGAGATGGCCTTCGCGCGCTGCATAGAGAAGAGGCGTGTAGCCGCTGCTGCCTGTGGAAGCAACAAGAAAACGAAAAAATGATAAAAAGTATAAGCCTGGCTGGGGTGGCTGGGCTGGGGTGGCTGCAACACGGAGATGGGGGCGACAGCAGCGGCGGAAGCGGGCACGGCGGCAGCACACCAGCAGGCTGTGGCGCACTTCAATTGCCCCCCTCCCGACCACCCTAACATCCGATGACAGCGTTTGGAGTCAACAGGACCCACCTCCGCAACCATCATCGTGCAGGGCCGCTGGATTGCGGGCAACGAGATCCCTGACGCGAAAGAGATCCCCAGATTGTGCTGCTGCCGCAGCAGACTTGACGAACGAGACCTCCTGGAGGCTTTGCGCGGCAGCAGTAGGCGCACAGCAGTCGCACGTCTGCCCGTGCTTGACTTTTGGCATCCCCAGCGATGGGAGAATCGTATTTCGCAAGCTGTTCTAGCGCCCAAGCTGCGCCACCTAGGTACACCTGGGCGCCACGTCAGCCGCCCAGCTCTTGCCTATCGGGGGCGCATAGCCTTACACGCGCCACATCCAATCAATTCATCGAGCTCACTTCTTGCCACGTCCCCTGCCGGCACCACTGCCGCGCCCACCCGACTTCGGCACCCCGCCGCGTCCGCCCCGCCCGCCGCCCCTGCCCCGCCCGCTGGCCTTGGGGGCGGTGGAGCCATCCTTGAGCGTGAGCGTCATCCCGCTGTGCTTCATCCCCTTGATCTGCACATCACCGGGAACATTGTAGGCAGCATGGGTGGCAGAGAAACGGCAGAGATATGCGCCAGAGCCCACCCCACACCAGCGCAGGCGTTGGCCCTACTGCCCTCCACCACCACACGCTTGCCTTCTTCTGCAGCATCACCGGGTCCAGCTCCTCCTCCTCCTCCTCCTCCTCCTGGGTCTTCGCAGGGCTGTCTCCCTCCGCCCCCACCCCATCCTCTGCACAGCCCAGCCGCCGCGCAGTGGGCACCAGCCGATCAGGTCAAGCAAGCACCTGCCAATCAGGGCGAGCAGGCACAGCCAGCCTGCCACATGCCCAGGTGCCAGCCTTCCCCCATCACCCCCCCCTAAAACCACCCACCCACCCACCCAGGGAGGCAGGCAGGCAGGCAGGCAGGCAGGCAGGCCCCATGCGGCTCACCACCAAACGGGTCCTCCTCGTCCTCCACCGCCGCCTTGCCCTTGCCCTTGCCCCGCTTCTTGGCCACCTTGTCATCCATGCCGAAGCCGGTCTTGGGCTTGATGTGCTGCTTGTTGAACTCGCGAGTGAAGGCAGACTTGACCTGCGCACACGTCGCATGAGGGCAGGGGCGCGAGGGCAGGGGCGGGCATGGAGAGCAGGCGTGTCGGCGGCTCCAGCCGTCACACACGCTCACACCTCCGTTCCCTCCAGCCACCCCGCCGCCTGCCCGACCTGGACCCACCTGCGTCTCCACTTTCTTCATGGGGTCCTCACCCCATGCCTCTGCCGTCTTAAACTTGGTAACGTCTGCACGAGGGGGGCCGGGTAGTCCCACACAGCAGGAATCCAAGGCGTTGCTGCGGTGTAGATGCAGCCCCAGATCCAGCAGCAAGCAGTACCAGGTGACACGGCAGTACCACCCACCCGTGACGAAATCAATGTCCTCGCGGCTGATGCAGTAGTCCCGCATGAGGCGCAGTACCGCAGGTACCCCCTCCTTGCCCTGCGCCACAGCCGGATGGGTGAGGCAATGCTGCTGCACCCGGAGGCCACAGCGGCACCGTCAGAGCAGCCAGCGCCTGGCACGCGGCAGTGGCGCCCAGCCAAGCACACCTGGGTCAGCAGCGGGCGGGTGAGCGTGTTGCGCAGCACAGGCAGGTAGGTCAGGCGCAGCCCGGTCCTGCAGGCGCACAGGGGGTGCCAGTAGTGCTATGGCGTGGTGCTAAGTGGTATGTCAGGCATGCAAGAAGCATGCAGGCACACGCCAGGCGGCAATGCAGCGTGCCCCGCCTTCCAGCACAACCAGCCACCGCCAGCCCAGCCGACCACCACCATCCCGACCAGCCAGCCGCACCTGTCGCACTCGATGCCGCCGCTGGACAGCATGCGCGTGTGCAGCTCGCCCAGCAGGCGGCGCTGCTTGCCCGCACTGCTGTTCTGCCCCAGCCAGGCAGTGAACCTGCGGCGGAGGGCGAGGACGCAGCATTGCGGGCGGCGGCGGTGGCGGCGGCGTTGGGAGCGATCAATTGGCGGGCAGTGCAGGCAGCGGCGGCGGGCAGCGCGGCCAGAACGGCAGGCGGGCCACCACCGTCGCTCACCGTGGGAAGTTGGGCTCGTTGGGGAACAGGCCCAGCACCTCACGGTGGCCGCGCATGTATGTGGCCGGGTACACGGTGCTCATGGCGGCTGCAGGGAGGCCAGGCGACGGGGTGTGTGTGTGCGTGTGTGCGCGTGCGCGTGTGTGTGGTGGTGTGGTGGGGGAGGGGAGGGGAGATGGCAAGGCAGGAGGGAGCGGGGCTGAGGGGCGGCGCAGCGCACGACACACGGCCGGCACAGGGAGGCACAGAGCCGAGCGTGGGCAGGCAGGCAGGCAGGCGGCGGCGGCGCTTGCCCGCAAAGGGCGCCAGGGACCAGTTTTGGTACTGGCGCACGGCGCGGGTGGCCACGTCGCCCGCGCTGATGCCATCCGCCGCCCGCGCCATGATGCGCAGCCGCTGCAGCTCGTTGTCAGCCAGCTTGGGGCGGTGGTTGAGGTAGTTCTCCTGTGGTGGGCGCGGGGGTGGGTGTGTGGGGTGGTGTGTGGGGAGGTGGCGCGCACAGTGTTGGGGTGAGCCCGGGATGGCGGCAGCGCAGCGGGGCGGCTGCGTGCGGCGAGCAAAGCACGGGGGGCGGGCCAGCCAGCGGCAGCTAGGGCGCGGCGCGGCGCAACTGCCGCCGCACCTGCACCAGCAGCGGCACCAGGTCCATGTCTTGGAACACCAGGTCGATCTGGTCGCTGCGGGGGGGGGGTGTTGGGAGGGCAGGAGGAGTTGTGGGAATGAGGCGGAGGCGAAGTGACAGGGGTGAGAGGGGCAGGAGGTAGGGTGAGTGGTGAAGGGTGTAGGTGTCAGGGTGATGGGTGCAAAGGAGCGCAGGCAAGAGTAGGGGGCAGGGGCTGAGGGGGCTGAGCGGATGGCAGCTGGAGCAGGGGCGGGGCAGCGAGGGCAGGGCGGGGGGGCGCAGGGTACCGGGCTGCGCCTCACCCCAGCGACAGCCCCTCCCCCTCGTACGACAGCAGGCGCCTGGCGGCCTCAAAGGGGCTCATCTCCAGGTCCTTGGCGGTGGACATGCCGCCCGTCTTGACCTGCGGGGAAACACGACAGGCCGCGACAGGTGGTGGCCGGGAAGCGAGCAGGGGAATCAGCGGCGGTGGCGGCGCTGGGGCAGAGGCAGGGGCAGCGCAACGCGGCCCATGCAGGCTGGCAGGCAGAGTTCACAGGGAGCAGCAGGCACGAGGCCCAGGCTGGCCCAGGTGCCAGCCCGGGCCTGCAGCGCTCCACCCGCCCACCCTAGCCGCCCAGCCACCTCCCCACAGCCCCCTGCCGCACCTGGTCGTATGTGAGTGCGCGGGCGCGCAGGCGAATCATCTGCAGCTGCCCCAGGATGAGGCGGATGTCGCCGCCGTTGGCGCTCTGCAGCGCAGTGCAGGCTGAAGTCAAGCGGCGGCCAGGCAGGGCAGGGGCCCCACCCACAAACAAAGCGCCATGCACGCGAGCCAGCGCCGCACGACGAGCGGCAGGCCCCCCACCCACCTGCACCAGCGCGTCCATGGTTGCCTGGTTCATGGCCAGACCCTCCTTGGCGCAGATGTCCAGCATGCGCTTGCTGATCTGCGGCACGGTGGGCCTGCGAGGGGGGGGGGGGCCGCAGGGGGGCACCCCGGTGGGCTTAAAGACAACCCTCCCCCTCCTTACGGCCCCCTGCGCCACTGCCCCCAAATCTCCGTTGCCCAGCAAGCCGCCGCCCCAGCAACCTGCCCAGTGGCCATATGACCCCCGCCCAGTGTGGCGCCCCCAGCCACCTGCCATCCTGCCATCCATCCACCCATCAGGCGCGCTGTCCACCCAGCCTCCCCACCCCACCCCCCTCACTTGCGGTAGTCCAGCTCCAGGCAGTGCCCCTTGAGCGACTTGAGCTTGGTCGCGTACTTGTCGTTACAGATACAGATGATGGGCACCCGGCTCTTCTTAATGGTCTGCAGGGGTAGTGCGCACGTGAGGGCGAGGCAGCGCGGCGGTGCGAGTGTGGCGCGGTGTGGGATGCGTGTCTGGAAGGACAAAGGTGTGCAGAAGCGGTGGCAAGGAGGGGCGGCGATGCGGGGCAGGGGCCGGTGGGCGGTGCACACACAGGTGGCGCCCCTGCCCCCCCACCACACAGACACACCCACCCACACACACACCAGGATGAGGTCTGCCACGCCGCCGCGGTCGCCCGCCGACATGCCATCCACCTCGTCCATCACCAGGCACAGCTGCGGGGGGCGGTGCGCCGTGATGGGGGGATGCGGGATGATTGGAAAGGGCTGGCAACGGCCACGAACAGACCACGAACAGACCACGGCTGCAGCAGGCAGCATCGTGCCCTGCGCCAGCCCAGCTGCAGGCCACGCCAGCCAGGCCTCTCCTGCCTCCCCTCGCCCAGCCTCCGCTGCCACACGCCACACGCCCACCTTCTTGCGGTTGCCCCGCGCATCATACGACACAGCCGTGTTGGTGGACAGCTCCTTGACCGCGTTGGCCAGCTTGCCGCCCACACCCTTGAGCACGCTGGCGTCGGCCTTGCCGCGCGTGTCGGAGGCGTTGACCTGCGGGGATGGAGGCAGGGGGGAGGCGAGTGCAGGGGTCAGAAGGTCGCGGCAGGCGAGGGGGCAGGGATGGAGGGCTGCCAAGCTGCCTCAATGCCGAAGCAGAAGGGAGCGGGTTCCCTGTCGCGCTGCCCAGGCCCCGGCTCATGCAGCTGTGCCGCGCATGCGCCAGGCCCCACCGCACGGCGGGCCCCTCCACGCCGCACCTCCACCGGCTCAAAGCCCAGCTCGCGGCAGACGATGAGTGCGGAGGAGGTCTTGCCGATGCCGGGCGGCCCGCTCAGCAGCACAGCCTTCTTCTTCATGTCAGCCTGCTGCTGCTTGCTGCTCCTGCACCAGCACCACAAACACCCAGCCAGGGGGCAGGCCAGCGTGTGTGCGATGGGGAGAGCCTGGAACTTCTGAGTCGGCCGGAAGAGACATCTGTGAAGGCTGCCGGCCCGCAGCCCGCCCCAGCACCCTCGCACCTGCCGGGGGGCGCCCTGGGCTCGCCGCCATGCAGGTGCACGCGCTCCCAGTCGCCCAGCCACTGCCGCAGCGTGGTCACCGTGATCTGGTTGCCCACCAGCTCCTGGGAGCTCTTGGGCCGCCACTTCTCCACCCACAGCTGCTGGTCGGCGGCAGGTGGCCGACGTGGAGGCGCAGGCGCCACGGCAGCGGCGGCAGCCGCCGCCGACGGAGCCGCCGCGGGTCCCACAGTCTTCCATCCGGCGGCGCCGGCGCCGGCGCCGCCGCCGTAGAAGCTCTTAGGGGCCATGCCGCTGCCGCTGGGCCCCGCGGCCTGCGGCTGCTGCTGCTGCTGGCGCTGCTTGGCTGGGGATGCCGCCACCGCTGCCGCAGGCTGCTCCAACTTGACATCCACCATCTCCACGTCCTCCTCAATCAAATCGACAGGCTCGGCATAGCCCGCGGGCGCTGGCGCCGCACGCACCAGCGCAAACAGATCGTCCTCAGAAATGCGGCGCACCTGCAGTGAGGGAGCAGAGCGGCAGGAATGAGGTGCAGGCAAGGCAAGGCAAGGGAGGTGAGCAGGCAGGCGGGCAGGCGGGCAAGGAGGGGACCATGACAGCCGACCACGACTGCAAGCCTCCCAGCAACCATCCAGTCTCACTCCCAACAGCCTGCCACATCAGCAGCAGCAGGCACCCACCTCCTTCTCCTTGGCATTGAACACCTTGGTGCGCCCCGCATGCGAACCCACCACCAGGAACGACGTCTTGCCGCTCACGTTGCCTGTCACCTGCAGAGGCGGCGGTGGGCAGGAGCACCAGGAGGCGGCAGTAGGTGAGGCGTGCCCCGGTGCAGGCGCCCACCACTGCTGCCTCAGATACACAAGCCAGGGCCCTAGGCCCCCACCGCCGTACCCCCACCCCATCCCACCCATTCCTCACCAGCCTCCACCCCCACCCCCCGACCCACCTTGCCGCCATGGCGCTTGATGAAGTCCTCCGCCTCCCCCCTCATCAGCGAGTCCAGTGTGCCGCTGATCACAAACGTCTTGCCCGTCAGGCAGTCGGGGTGGCCCACGGGCGCCACCTGCGCACCGGCAGCGGCCACCGCAACCAACCAACCAGGAGCTGAGCAGGCGCACGGCTGGGGTAATGCCCCGCCTCCAGCCACCCCACGCAGGCAAGGCTCCTCTCCACTCCCGGCACCGCACCGCACCTTGCTGCCATGGTTTGGCGGCTCGTCGGGGGCGCGCCCCGCATACGCATTGTCAGACATGAAGAGGATGGCGTCGTCGTTGAAGGGAGGCAGCGCTGCTGCAGCAGCATCCACCGCCTGCACCGCCGCCATGGCGGCCGTGTCCTCTGCAGGAGCCAGGGAGCGGGGCCAGGCGGGTGGGCAGGCAGGCAGGCGCATGTCAGCTGAAGGCGCCCCGGCACATGTGTCTGCAGGGTTCAGGGGCAGCATCCCACGCTGCAGGGCGCCGCAGCGCACCCGCAATGCGCTGCAGCGCCGCAGGCAGCTTCTGGCCAGCTGCCTTCTTGCGGGTGGAGGCGGGCGTGATGGGCTTGGGGCGCTGCGGAAGGGAGGGCGGGGTGTGAGGTCGCTGGTGATGCACGTGCGAATGAAATGAGCCACCAATCAGCACAGCTACTCTAACGCCCTCCCTGCCAGGCGACAATGCCAGTCCAGGCCCACGCGCCCCACCCACACCTTGGCCGCCGGCTCTGCCGACTTGGCCTTCTTGTCCTTCTTGGCCGCCGACTTCTGGCTGCCGCCGACCGCCTCCTCCTCCTCATCCTCGCTCACCAGGTTGATCTCAAAGTCGTCGTCGCTCCCAGAGGCCTGCAGCAAGGGACAGAGCGGTCGGCGAGGGGCGTTTGCCAAATCAGGCAGCGATGGAAGATCAGGCAGCGAGGAACAACGCCCAGGACCGCTGGCTGGATCGGCGCTCTGTGGCGCCCAACCCGGCACGACAGAGCGACAGGCCCATCCTCACACACCTCCTGCTCCCAGCTGTCGCTCTTGTCACCGCCCTCCTGGTCCTCCTTGTAGCTCACAGCCGCCTTCTTGCGCTTGGCAGGCACCGCAGGCGCCGCAGCAGCCTTGGCTGCGGGGCTCCCGCTGGCTGCCTTGGGCTTGGCAGCTGCGGCGGCGCCCTGCGGGCTCTTGCTGGAGCCTTTGCCGCGCGACGGGGTCCTGGCTGCCGCTGGCGGCTTGCTGCTGCCGGCGCTATTGGCGGCAGGCGCCGCCGCTGCTGCCGGCTTGTCCTCGCCCTTGCTCGCCGGCTTGTCCTCACCCTTGTTGACACGCGCAGCCCCAGCGCCCCCTGTACAGTTGACGGCAATTCCACGACAGTCAGAGCATGCAACACTCTACCAGCTGGCTGGCACAGCTACGATGGCCCCTCGCTTGGCGGAGCGGCAGCTTCCCTGGGAACCCGCGCTCTTACCTGCCGATGGCCCTTTGGGCGCGAAGAACTTGCGGATGTCCTGCAGTGGGAATACGGTTTGAGGAGGGGATGAATGGATGGTACAAGTAAGGTTGCGGTGCCAACTCGAGGCCGCCGCAGACAGCCTGCGGCAGCAGGTGCGCGGGGTGGCGGCGAGGTGCCTCTCACCATCGTGGCCTCAGCAGGGCCTTCGCCAGCCCCACGCGCCACCTGTCGGTGCTGCGGACCAGGTACAGACGGCCCAGGTGCGCACTGTGGAGGTTTGTGCTTGAGTGTGGCGATCAGTTCAGTTTGACAGGGCGTCCAAACCCCCGTCGCTGGTGCCCAAGGTGCACAGGCGAGCGTAGCATGGCAGCCATGGAACTGAAGGCCTGTCCTGCTGGGGCGTGCTTAGCACGGCCGCCTCATGCAGGTTCTCAAGCAGCCCCTGGAGCCTCCCTTCTCTCCCTTGCTACACGTCCACCAGCTCTGTGCGGTGCCGTCACGCGTCCTCTGCAGCGCAGTCGGTGTCGGGCAGCGCAATCAACTCCAGCGGGGGCTGGTGCACAAGGCCGGCTGTGTGCTATTGCCGTTCGGGCGCCTGCTCGGCTCCTGAGTCACCGCGTCCTCGACACGACCGCCGCTCCCCTGCCGGCATGGTGCTGCACGGCCACTCGCACTCGCTGCCGCTGGGTGCCCGCCTGGTGCGCCCCGTGCAGCGCCTGTGGGGCACCGCTTCCAAGGCCTTTGCGCAGCACCCGTTCCTCATCAAGACCGTCAGCGCCGGCTTCGGCTTTGCCTTTGGCGACGTGCTGTTCCAGCTGGGCACCACGCGGCGCAAGGGCCTGCCGCTCGACTGGCGCCGCTCGGCGGCGATGGGCGGCGCGGGGCTGGCTGCTGCGGGGCCCCTGGGCTACTACTTCATCATGTGGATGGAGGGCAACATCATGACCGCCGCACCGCACAGGTGGGCCGCCGGGCGATCTGCCGGTGCGGGCTGGGCAGGGCCTGGGCAGCTTGCACACAACACCAGCCGCCAGCCAGGTGCACATGCCGCCAGCGTACCGGCACTCTGTGACTGGCGCATTGTGGTCACCTGCTCGCCTCCTTGCTCCCGCGCCTGCAGCATGCTGGCGCTGGGCGTGAAGCTGACCCTGGATCAAGTGCTGGGGTTGGCGCTGTGGCATGCCGCACTGGCCGCCATCAACGAGCCACACCGGGTGGCGTGCCTGGCGCTGGCGCAGCAGCTGGCGCAGCAGCAGCAGCAGCAGCAGCGGGGGCGGGACAAGCAGCACCTGCTCGCAGCCAGCAAGGCGCGGTAGGCAGTCGGCTGGCTGCACGGCGCCCAGACCGTGTGGCACCTCGGGCAACCACGGGCCTGCTGCCCGCCCCGCCCCTTCTGATGAGAGTGCGAGTCCCTGATCCTGATCCCTAGTGTAGCCTGCTGTGCCGCCCCCTGTACCTCAACTACGTAACAGCGGTAGGAGAACTCTGTATGCCCTTGCTGTCCAAGAATTTCATTGCCCGCCAATGCTCGATAGATGTCTGTGCCTTGCACTGTTCCCACACCAGCCAGTGTGCGCGTCCTGGAGCCCCAGACCTTTTGGCCATTTCCGTCACGGCTGGGCCATGCTGCATATTGCTGCTTTTTGTTCATTCGGCTTTTCTTCATCCCCTCTCCCTTGCCCAAAACCCTTTAGCTGGTTGTTTTGTTGCCGTCTGCTGATGATTGCGATTCTTCTCTGTAACTTTGCATTGTGGTCGTGTTGAGAGCGCAGGCTGGCAAGCGCGGGAGAACCTGCAGTGCTGCAATCGTTACACGTATAAACAGTGTGCAAAGGGGCAGGTGCAGTCGGCTCATCAATACAGGTACAAGGTGTAAGGTTGAAGACAACAGGGATAGGAGAGGAATGCTTTGGGCAAGATGGGTAAAGCACGAGGGGTGGGTCTTGGCTTGTAACATTGCCTACTCCTCCTTGGTTGCAGTGGCCACATGCGTCACGATGCCGGCTGCCGCACCTACGGCGCCAGCGCCCACCACCACGGCGGCCGAGGCGGGCAGGAGGGCCACCGCCGCTGTGCCGCCCAGGGCAGTGCCGACCTGCCGCATGCAAAATTAGGAGAGAGTCAGGGAGGCGGACCAGATGGAGTCACCCACCCCCTCAAGTGGCACCTACCGCGGCAAACAGATCTGCGCGGTTTTGCCCCTTATTGTAAAAGAGCCTGTATGCCCGATCCTCCACCCCGACCTTGAAGTCGGGGCTGGTGGCCAGGCGGGCAGTGCACATGATGCCTGCACAACCCAAGGCGTGAACAACGACGGGGGGAGGGGCAGCGCAAGCAGCAACATGAGCCTGGCCCAGCATGCCGCCCCGCAACCGACGTGGGGAACAGCCATATGCCACGCCAAGCCCCATCTGCCCTGCTCGCCTGAGACAGCGGTGGTCGCAAGCACGGTACGGAAGATGGCGTTGAGCACCTTGGGGGTTGCATCTCCCAGCTGCCCGCCCTGCGGCAAAGAAGTAGGCGAGGTGCACCAGCCACCAGGTGCAGGCAGGTGTGTGCCGGGAAGCAGGCAGAGGTCCACCAGCCACCGGGTAAGCTCAGGCAGATGCATCCCTGCCCATGGACATCCACCTTGCTGCCACCAGCGCCAGATTAAACAACATACTGCGCACCGCACGGATGTGGCGGAACAGCACGATTGGCGTCACCAATGCGCAGCCCACAACGCCGCCCATCTGGAATCCTTTCTGCAGCCAGATGAGATAGATCACAGCGAGCCATTTGATCACTGAGCCAATGCCGCTGAGACCAGCGCATGAGCAAGGAGGCTAGCGTGCCTGCAGAACGTGTTTGTAGACACGCGCCGCGTTCACCGCAGGGCTGTCCAACGTTGGGTCAAACTCCTTCTCCTCCGACATGGCTGGTCTGTGGAATTGTCCAGGGAGTTTGCAGCAAAACATTGTGAAATTGGATCGGGCAGGCAGCGCCCAGGCCCGACGGGTGGGACACGGTCGGCGGCGGCAGGGCGGGTGGGAAGAGGCAGCAGCCCCACGGGGCTCCGCTTCCGGCCTGATACTGCTAACCTCTTTCGCAGCTCGGTTGCTGATTGCCAGTGTCGCGGGTGTGCCTCCAGCGCCCGCACGTCAACGGGAGCTAGCCCACCCAAACCTTTTCGGCCCCTTGACGGCTTTAGGTGCTTGCTTCTTCGCAAGAAAGGAGAAAGCAAGAGAGTACCAGGGGTGGGTTGAATATGAAGGCCTGGCTGGGGCTGCCGCATGCGGGCTGCGCCAGGGCAGCCCGCATGACGGCCAGCCTGCCCTAAATCACGTCTCTGCGCTGCTTTCGTCCTGTCACACACACACACACAACACACACACACACAGCCCCTACGATAGGTCCATGCCAGGCGATTTGCTCGGGGGTTACAGCTTTCTGACGCCGCGGTGGCGCGACTGCCGAGCGAGCTGGTGAGAGAAGAAGCGACGAGTCGGGAAGGAATGAATGTACAAACAGAAGCAGTAGAAAGGGCTGGGTACAGGGGAGGTCTGGGTCTGAGGAAGACGCAGGCAAAACGCAGAGGTGACAGATATGAAAGGCAGGAGAGGGAGCGGCATGAGCGTATGCCGCGTAGCAAAGCAGAGTCGGGAACAGTCGTTGCTCTGGCGCGAAGCTGTGCCAGAGGAAACTAGGAAAAGGCCGCTGAGAATAAAAGAGGCAGCTGGAGTACGCCATAAAGGGGCGTGAAGGGCAGCCCTTCACGGGGCACAGAGGACAAAACGGGCTGCGAAGGCAGACCATGAAAGGGGTGGGAGCGGTTCCTTCGTGTGGGTTTAGGCAGGGTTCAGGCATGTGTTGGTTCAGTGTTCATAAAACAGGGGGAGTTCGTGGAGTGCTCGAGGTTCTCAGGCATTGTGTTTGTAATTGAGGGGGGAAAGAAGGGGCTCATTTCGATGACAATGGCTGGCAGGTCGCAAATGACTCGCTAACCGCTGTAGCAAATCAACCAGGCCGGGATGAAGGCAGGCCACGGGGCCATGAGGCAGGCTATAAGCCTATAGGGCGGGATCAGGCGGGGAGGAAGGCCACAGCAACGGTGATGTCGTCGGCGTAGGCGCCCGAGTAGGCGGCTGCCCACTTGCGCTGAGCGGCGTGCAGCAGCGCACTGGCTGCCGCCTCAGCGGAGGAAGAGCTGCGGGCAGGCAGAGGGGGGCAGGGGACGCGGCAGGTGGTGAGCAGGGCTGCAAGCGGCGGCCGATGGGGGGTGGCCAGGGAAACGGCGAGCGATGCCGGCCATGCCAGCCCTGGATTTGCAGCAAAGCGTTCACAGCATGGCTCTTTCAGCTCACCTCATGGCGATGGCCACAGCGGCATCGTTGCTGAGCATATCCCACAGGCCGTCGGAGCCCAGCACCAGCACGTGGCGGGCAGGGCCGGCGGCCGGGGTGGCATCATCAACATCAGCGCTCACAAAACTGCCGATGACAAAGCTGTCCAGGGGGCAGCTTGGGGAGCTGGCGCTGGAGGCGGCGGTGGTGGTGGGCACAGCAGGCGGCAGCATGAGAGACACGGCATCCGGCTCGGCAGTCAGGCCCAGCGGCACCGCCCCTGCAGGCAACAGGGCAGGGCGGGCAGGGTCAGCAGCTGCAACAAACACGCGAAGAAGTGCAGCCCCACACAACCACCGCAGAGCATCTTACATGCATCGCCAAAGGCGCGGCTCAGCGACAGGGTGCTGTCTTCCAGGGTGCCGCACAGGCGGTGGGGCTGGCCACGTCGCAGCTGCACCACACGGCCCTTGCCGCTGGACGCTATGCGGGACCGCTCCAGCGGGCTGCAAATGACACGAGGGAGAGCGCAGGTCTGAAGTCAGGGTCAAGCGCAGGCAGGCAGGCGGGCCAACAGCATGCCTTGACCAACGTGAGCAGGATGTCTAGGCGCCAGATGCTACGAGGAGGCAGCCCTTCCCAACACCTGGGCCCCCTGCCACACCCACCTGCTGGGCTTGTGGTCCTGTGTCAGGGCATGGACCAGCACCGAGGGACCGGCCGCGGTGTCTACGCTCAGGCCAACCACCGCGCGGCAGTCGCCCGCCCACGCGGCTGTGATGCTGCGGGCAGGGAGGCAGGATGTGGAGCGCCAACAGATCAGCAGGAGCTAAACCACATCGCAGACTGGCAACCCAACTGTCAACACCCATGCACCCCTCCACCTACCCGCCCGCCACACACCTGTCCTCCTCCACCAGGCAGGCCACTGCGGCGGCGCCGCAGTCCTGGAAATCCGAGTCGTAGCGCATGCTGGCCGCCACAGCCTGGAAGGCACGCACCAGCGCCTGCTGGGGCACAGGGGCGGCGCTGGCGCTGGCGCCGTCGCGGCTCCACCCCGCGTCAGCCCGCAGCTGGTTGCGAATCGCGGGCACCGCGCCCGCCAGCCCGCCGGCCGCGGTGTGGCTCGCGTTGTCGCCGCCGCAGCCGTGGCCGTCAAACACGCCCAGCAGCAGCGCGGGGGAGGCGCCGGAGGGGCTGGCCACGGGGCAGGCCAGAAAGGCGTCCTGGTTGGAGCTCTTCCACTGCCCGCGCGACCTGCCGCCGCAGGTTGCCACCGCCGCATCTGCAGGCAGCACAACGATGGGGGCATTGTTGACAACCTGCAGCCTGGAATGACAGAACGCACAGGGCAACTCAAGGTTCGGCCCCGCAGCCACACGGTCCAGCCAGCTCACCTGCCACGTCGGGAACCGTCAGCTGGCACTGCCTGTCGAAGCCGGGGGGCTGGCTGGGGGCATCCAGGCGCCACTGCCGCAGCAGCGCCTCCACCGCCGTGCTGTGGCCGCTCTGCAGCGTGTCTTCATAAGGCTCCAAAGCGCCCAGCCCCTCCAGCTGCTGCTGCAGGCGCGGGGCGGCATCGTCTGCGGCCCGCGGGACGGCTACCTCCAGCAACTTGGCGGCGGTGATGGTGTCGCGGCGAATGGAGGCGTGCAGTGCCTCGGAGTAGGGAAGTGGCGGCGCTCGGGGCTTGATGGTGAAGGTGAGGCGGCCAGGGCGGCCAGAGGAGAGGGTCAGCGTGCGGGCCCCCTCTTCGGCCGGCGCTGCTACGCTGGCGGGTGGCTGCGGGCAGCGACCGCCGCGCTGCCACGCTCCGCCATGGGTGCGGCGGGGGCCGGCGCGTGGCAGCGGGCGGGGCGTGCCGGCAGGAGCGGGTGTGGATGGGTTGGCACTACATTCTGTCCTACGGCGGCTGCGGCAGGGAGCGCACAAACACGGCAAAGTCATGGCACGTTGGGTTCCAGCGGGGGCAGAGGGCCGAGTTGGCTTGGGGACCAACGCAGAAGTGATCTTCGGGCCATTCTGCCCGGGGCTTGCCTGGCGCCCACGGGCGTCGCTCTGAGGGTCCGGCTATTGCATGCACACGCAAGGCGCATGGTTTGACTGGCGCAGGGGCGTGGATGGCGGGGATAGAATGGAGCTTGCGGACTGTGTGGACGCGGTTGACGGGCCTTGGGGGGCCTTGCAGCAGTGTCAGGAGGGTCCGCGGCAGGGCTGTAGCCCCACAGCAAGCGGAATAATGCGGATGGCGGCGGCCCCGCGCCCTGCATGAGGGCTGCGTGGCCTCCTGGGCAGATCCAAGTTCTGGGATTAAGCAGAGCTGCCTCCCTTCAATCCCTGCTCCCCGGCCCTGAAATGCATCAAGAAAGCGAAAGGCGGCAGCTCCGTGGGGCGGCGGGGCCAGGCCCGCCGCCCGCCAGGACGCCCAAACCTCTCAGGTATCCGGGGAATTATGACATTTGTCGCCTGTTGGGCAACGGGAGATGCCGAACTTGAACAATGAATTCAAACGCAGCAACAGGAGTGCAGCTAGATGCACCAACAGGAGGCAGGGAGTGCCAGCCACTGGGCGCTGCCGCCTGTGCAGGACGTGCCGAGCCAGGCCTCGCGTGCTAGAGTGGGACGAGGAAGCGCTCCTCGTGGGCGCGCTTCCACAGAATGCACGAGCACTCCAGCCAGGCCGGGGTGACCACCCACTTGCCCATGCTGCGCGCCGACAGCACCTTCTCCGTGCCGCTGGCGCCGGCGATGACATGGGTGGTGGATGCGTCCAGAGACCCGCTGCACCGCGCCCCAAACGACTGTGCCAGGCGCCACAGCGGGTGGCTTTCGGGCTCCATCTCTAGAGGGATGACGCGGGTGAACACCAGGTGCACACCCGCCAGCACCTGCAGGTGGCAACAACAAGGGGGAGGCTGGGAAAGCGGAGCGGGCGAGGGGCGGCCCCATCCTGCCGGCACCAGGACCAGCAGAAGTGCACCGCTTGGCTACAATGTGCTGCCGATGGCCTGGGAGGTTCCGGCAGGCGCCTGCCCCTGACCGCGCCCCCAGCATGCGGGGCCAGCCCCTCCCCCCAGCCCACACCTTTTGCCGCTCCTGCGCCAGCGCCTGCCGCGCATCCCAGTTCTGGAACACCACCTCGCCGCCTGGCAGCACGGTGGGCGGCGCCGCCAGCGCGCGCATCACCGCACCGTGCACCCGCACCAGCACGCTGAGCGCCACCATCAGCATCCCCTGCTCAGGGCACTCGTCCCTGCGGAGGAGGCAGGCGCGGCGGGCGCAACACGCAGCAGCAGGATCAGCAGATGGTCCACACCGGCGGGCAGGGGCCCCCCTCACCAAGGAAGGACTTGTACGAGGTGCTGGTTGCGGGCAGCACCTCACGCCATGGCCGCTACCACCACAGGCTTCCATCCCAGGTCACCAGCCTCATGTCCCGTCCCGGCCCCGCCGCACCTGTTGGCATCCAGCAGGGAGGGCCCCTTGAGGCCAAGGCTGGCCCTGCTGGAGGGGAAGTAGATGTAGCGCTCCACGGCCACCAGGTTGTGCCGGTGCTGGCTCCACACGCTGTGCGAGTCGTCCACGATGACGGTGATGGACTCGCGCTCATCCAGGCCCTGCTGGAAGCACAGCATGCACAGCATGGCACAGCGTGGCAGGGCACAGCAGAGGAGGAGGGTCAGCAAGGCGGAGCGGGGATGATGGGCTGCGCCGGGCAATGCAGCCTGGCAGGAGCCCAGCTGGACCCGGGGCCCCAGGAGCAGCAGCCCCACCCGCCTGTACACCATTGCCAGCCCCAGCCTGCACCTGCATGAGCCGCTTGGCCTGGTCGGGCACCATTTGATCAACACGCTCGGCGCCTTGCGCGATGATGCGGTCGCCGAAGATAGCGCCGCCGCGGTCCAGCAGTCGCACAACAGAGTCGGCATACGCGCGGTTGCCTGCGGGTGGGCGGCAGCGCAGAAGTGAGCGCCAGGCGAGGGAGGTGGTAGGGGGGCGCTGGGCATTGCGGCAAGGGCATTGGGGGCCGATGACAAGGTGCTGTGCTGCCCGCCACAGGCAGCATGGGCGAGCCGCACCATTGGTGTGGATCCACAGCTGGTAGTAGCGCGCCGCGCGCTGCAGGAATTTGTGCACCCCCGGGCGCAGCTTGGTCCACATCTGCAGGAAGGACCATTGCAGGGGAGTGGTGCCGTGTGTGAACCATTTGATGGTTGCGGCGGCAAGAGGGTAAGTGGGGCAAGGGAATGCCACCTGGGCACGTGCCGCACCCGACCCTGCCGTCTGCCTCGCTGCCCAATGCAGTACAGGTGCTAAGAAAAAAGGGAAGGCTCGAGAAGCAAGCTCTCACTCCAACAGGGCGGCTGACCTTGATGCCATCGATGCGGAACAGCAGGCGCTGGTCCTCGGGCAGGGTGGCCGCCTCGCTGGCGGCGCGAGCCTTGAGCGAGTCATGCAGCGTGGGCCCGACCTCGGCAAACGTGGCGCTGTTGAGCAGGGTATGGTCCAGGTCCAGTACCAGGCACAGCTTGCCCCGCCTGCCGACAACAGAGACAGAGAAGGGGGACACGAGTGGGGCTGCTGGGTACGACGGGGATGGGTGGTATGGCGTGCACGCTGTGGTCGTGCCGAGCGTGGCAACATTTGGTGTCCCCATCGATCTGATGGCGTCATTGCCGTGTTCTCTCGATGATGTATTTGAGAAAAAAACGTGGCATTCGAGTTGTGTGCTTGGCGCTGGGCTGACACAGACAGCGGCGACACAACCCCTCCGACCTGAAGCTCAATGCAGAACCATATCCCGCCGGCCCCCATCCCAGCCACCATGGAACAGTCTCTGTTCACTCTCTCGAGCCACATCCTTGTTCCGAGTTTGATAGCATGCAAGCAGGCCTATGGCAGCCAGCCTGAGCATACCTTACCTCGGTGCCTGTGCAAGGCGGCTGAGGGGCATACCTGGAGAGCTGACGCAAGTTGGCTGGCTGGCTGGGACAAGAGAGGCATGCAGCGCAGGTGCTGTGCGCTGCTATTGCTGTGGAGCGCCAGGATTCGAGCACGGGGTGTGGCACAGGAAAGCTGGCACCAAGCACCGTTGGCAAGGCTGCAACAGGCAGCCAGCCACAGCTGAGAACGTGCAGCAAACTCACCCTAGCAGCTCTTCAACGGCTGGCGACCCATTGGCTGCATGCTCTACTGCCGCTGGATTCAGGCCAAGCTGCGGCAACGCCCCACTGCCATTAGCCACGCCGGCCTGCTGCTCCGCTGCTGTCATGCCTCTTGGCGAGGAGGGGGCAGACATGGGGCTGAGTGGCGGCTCAGCCCTTCCCTCCCACTCCCCATGTGCCACAGGCGGCGGTGCACCAACTGACTGCCAGCCACCCGGCACGTCCTCTGGTGGCAGCGGGGGCAGTGGCGGCTCAGCATGCGGTGGCGCCACCAGCGGCGGCGGCCCTGCTGGTGGCAGCGCTGGTGTGCTGCCGCCCCACGGTTGCTGCTGCTGCTGCTGCTGCTGCCGCTGCTGGCCGTGCTGCGGCCAGTCGGCCCCCAGTGCAACTGCCGGCGCTGGTGGCAGGCTAGGCGGCGGCGGCAGCTGTGGCGCGTCTGGCAGCGCCCCGGTCAGGCTGGTGGCCCCCAGCTTGATTGTCAGCTTGTACCGCTTGTTGGCAGCTGCCTCCGCCTCCTCCGCCGCCCGCCCCTGCTCCTGCTGCGCCGCTAGCTGCACCCCCTGCGCGGCGTGCACTGCCTGCTGCGCCTTTGCCTCCGCAGCCGCCTCGGCGCGCTGCTGCGCCTGCAGGCGCTTCAGCTGCCGCTTGCTCAGCCGCGGCTGCTCCTCCTCCTGCTCCGCCTCCTGCTCTGAAGACTCCTGCTGCCGTTTTCTCTCCTTCTGCTGCGGCTGCTGCCTAGGCGCGGGCACATACTCGCGCCGCACAGGCTGCGGGCTGGGAGACCGCTGCTCCAGCAGCGCCGCAAAGTTCTTGCTGTTGCTCAGAAAGCCCTCCAGCTGCTGCTGCTGCGCTGCGGTGAGCAGCTCTCCACGGGCGCTCCAGGCGGCCTGCACCGGGCCCCGCGCATCCGGCATGCTGCGCCCCTGCCCCGTGTTGCTGTACACGTGCAGCGCCTTGAGCCCGCCAAGCAGCACAGCACCCAGCTCCGCCAGCGCCTCGCTGCCATCTGCCCCCGTCACGGATGCGTCCCGCTGCACAGCACAGCGCGACGCGGCAGAAAGGCGAGGGACAACACCCAGCCATGCCCCAGGCAGGCGGCAGAGCACGGGCCCGGTCAGCAGCAGCTTGAGCGGGAGCAGTGACCGCAGGCGCAAGGGGCTGCTGCTGCTGGGATATGCTGCTCCTGCAGAGCCCCCGTATGCTGCTTGCCTGCAAGGCGCTGTTCCCCACGCAGCACTGGGCGTGGCCGCTGGCAGCAACCACACGACAAGCAAGCGGCAGGGCACGCCTCCTCCACGGTTCGCCTGCTGCACTGCCACAACCTGCTGCCTGGCATGCCCTAAACCGTATCAGCCTGGTTGCCAGCACACCTGCTTCAGAAGCCGCAGGTAAGCCGACGTCTTGCGCAGCGCTGACTTGAGGTTGGAGCACACTCGCTCCAGGTCCCTGCACCAGCACATACATGGCAGCTCAGCACACGACCACAAAAGCAAAACACCGAGCGTCCGGAAGCAGCTGTGGCAGCGTGCACGGCGCGCCTGCGCAGCAGGCTGGCCCATGCACACAGCTGCTGCACAGCTGGCGGCTGCAGCCAAGGCCTGCAGCTAGCTGAGGCCAGCGTGGCACCCACTTCAAGCACTCTTGCAGTGTGAGCGAGCGGGCTAGGCCTTTGACGTCCGCAGCAAGCTCGGCCATCTCCCGGGCATCGTGCTTTGCCTGCTCCTCTGCCGTCAACTGGCGTGGCGGCGGCGGCGAGGCCGGGCGAGGCGGCGGCAGTGGACCTGGCGGTGACGGCCCGGGCAGCCCAGGCAAGTGTGGCCGACCGATGTTTCGCTTAAAAGGCGGCAGAGGCTCGTGGAGCGGCGGCGGCAGAGGCGGGCTGCGTCTGCTGCCAAAGGCCGGCGGGCCTCGGCTGCGGACAGGGGGGTAGCTGGGACGGCCACCGCGCGGCGGGCCCGAGCCCCAGCTGCCCGCCCTGCCATCACGGTGTGGCGGCGGCGGTAGCAGGCGGTCGTCTCGTCGCGGCGGTGGGCGGCGCTCCTCGCGGGGGAAGGGGGGTTGCTGCTGCGGCCGCGGTTCACTTCGTGGCTGAAGCGTGCAAAGGGCGGCAGGGAAGTGAGGCTAAACTGTGACAGGAGGTGGCTCCCATCGATGCACCATGCAGCCCCTTACCGGCGGGACCGCAACTTCGGCCGGCAGCTCCCCCTCCTCTAAGATTTCGCCCTCCTCCAAGTCGCTATCGCTCATGCTGCAAACAAAGGTTTCAAGCCTGCATTGGGACACCTCCCACCGCGCCAGGCCTGTCTAGATGTGAACAATTGAACAATAGGTGCGCGCAGTCGCCACGCTCATCACTAGAGAGCAGCTGGCCACGCTGTCCACGCTGTCCAGTTTGCGGGTCCCTCCTTCCTGGGCCCAACTGGTGTCTCTGTTGATTTGATGGTTTCAACTGTATCATGCGGAAGAGGATGTTTTGTAGATCACTGCATCTCACCAGCCCAGCGTCTCGGACACCACCCACTCAGGTGCGCACAGAGCCACGCAGCGCCCGCAATAGCGCAGCATATGAGTACCCACGTGCGATGAAACGGCATGGATGAGGCGGGCAGCACAGCCCTGCCACTGCCGTCGCCGCCGCTGCCCATAGTCGCCATTCCTGCCTGCTGTGCACCCCCTCACAGACTGTTCACACTACAGCAGCTCGAGCTCTGCCCCATCGCCAGGACCGCATCTCCAGCGACGGCACCTGGTGGAGCAGCTCCTCCATCGCCGCACCCACCAGTAGCAGCAGCAGCGCCGCCACCCAACCTTATGTGATCGGCTCGGCGGTGCCGGCAGCCGGCGACACCGCCCCGGCAGTGCCGCCCGTCAACGATGCCGCCATCGAGCGCCTGGCAGACCTGCTGCAGCGTGCACGGGGCACGCTGGTCCTCACCGGCGCCGGGTGCTCCACTGAGAGCGGGTGAGGAGCATCGTCTGATCAGTCGGTGGTACCTGCAGCACCTCCTTTGATTTACTTTCATCGTTAACACGCCTGTTGTTACAACCATTTCTGGGCCTGCAGGGTGCCAGACTACCGCGGGCCAGCGGGGGCCTACACCACCAGCGGCTTCAGGCCGATGACGCACCAGCAGTTCATGGCTTCGGATGAGAACCGGTCGCGCTACTGGTCTCGCAGCTTTGCCGGGTTTCCCAAGTTCTCCAGCGTGCACCCCAACGCCGCGCATGAAAGCCTCGCCAGGCTGCAGCACCGCGGTGCGTGCCATTGCCGCTGCCCATCGGGCCTGCGCTGTTGCTGCTGGCTGGTGGGCCCCACTGCTGCTGCTGTTGCTTGCTGCAGAACCCACCATGACATCAAGGGTACATGCTCTGCAGGCTGGGTGCAGGCGCTGATCACGCAGAATGTGGATCGGCTGCACCAGAGGGCAGGATCGCGACGGGTGCTGGAGCTGCATGGCACAACACACGAGGTGGTCTGCACAGGCTGCGGCCGCCTGTCGTGCCGCCACGAGTTTCAGCGCACGCTGGCAGCCCTCAATCCCGATGCGGCAGCCGTGGTGGCGGCGCTGGCAGCGCAGCAGGACGTGGCGGACGATCGGGAGCGGTTGCTACGGGCGGGCACCGCAGTACCTGTGCACCCCAGCTTGCGGGTGGGGAGCTGCAAGGCTTGCTGCTGCCTGGCTTCGTATCCCTGCCCGGCCTCGCTCTGGCCCGTGTTGCCTGCCCGCCCACCTCATGTGTTGTGCCCGCCGCCTGCAGGAAACGAGTACCAGCAGCGGCGGCGGCGACAGCCCCACCATCCTGCGGCGGCCTGACGGCGACGCGCAGGTTGTGCAGCGGCCCGATGGCGACATGGAGCTGGGGGCTGCGGGGCAGGGGTTCAGGGTGCCGCCCTGCCCCGCCTGTGGCGGCATTCTCAAGCCGCATGTCGTGTTCTTTGGCGACGGTGAGGGCGGCGTGCCGTGTCTGCGGGTGGATGGGCACCACAGCATCTGCACCCTTTCAGTCGTCGGACTCAAAACGCTGCGCCCATGCTCTGGCAGTCCTCCTCCGCCGCTGCCTGCTGGTGCAGGTATCCCGGCTGAACGCGCGCAGTTTGCGCTCGACCTCGCGCACAGCTGCCGCAGCGTGTTGGTCGTGGGCTCCTCCCTGGCCGTATGGTCGGCCTACCGGCTGGTGAAGGCGGCAGTGGAGGGCGGTGGCGCCGAGCTGGCGATTGTCACGGCGGGGCCAACCCGTGCCGACGATCTGGCGCACCTGAAGCTGGAGGCGCGAGCGGGCGAGGTGCTGGCACGCCTGGCGGCGCACCCCTCACTCCAAATCCCTCCTGTGTACTAACCTCCTGAGTGGCCCAGCTACACTGTGAATCCTCCCTGAGCCCTGCAATACCGGCGGCAAGATGTGTGCTGCACACATGTGGTGGTAGGGGGTAGAAGGGGTCATCTGCGGTCCTCATGGTCGCGCTCCTCCACCGCCCCGCTCTGTTGCATTCTTGAAACACCAGTTTAGGCGCTGAACGTCTCATCTCTCGTAGCCGGAGTGTCCGCAGCGGCCATGTTGAGCCTCTGAGCGCGTTTGGCAGGCGGGGCATGGCAGCGCACGCCCTACAAGAGCAGCGAGGCGAGGGGCAGGAGCATCAGCGCGAGAACTTCCCGCAACTTGGGTTTGATGCCCTGCCGCTGGAGGTCCGCTTGCAGTGCCTGGCCAACTGCGACTGGCAGACACTGGCCCGCGCCAGCTGCGTCAACCTATCGACTAGGGCACTGGTGCGCCGGCAGCCGCGTGGGTGGCGGCGGCAGCTACGCACCGCCTCGGCGCCTGCCCTCCGCTGCCAGCCTGCACACTATGTGTGTCTCTGCACCCTTGCGCCCACTCGGCATGCACTTCTACTTGTGTTGCTTTCGGTGTGGCCCTCGCCGCCACACCGGCCTGCAACCAGCTGCAACGTGCACCTCTCCTCTCCCGCCGCCGCCGACAGGTTGACTACTTGGTGCGAACCCCATACTGGCGCACATATAGCGAGGAGCAGCCCGCGGTGCTGTGTACCGACTTTGCCACGCCCGAGGAGCGGCAGGCGGCATGCAGCAAATGGGCGGTGAGCGGCCCTCAGCAGCCTGGTGGAGGGCTTCTGTGCTGCAACCCCAGGCATGCATGTTTTTGCCACTAGCTCCGGCTGAGCCTGCCTGCGCCTTGCATGCTGTCGCGCTTTGCATGCTACAGGGGGGACTGACCGCCACGCTGTGCGGCCACGGCAAGCCAGACATCTGCTTTGTGTTTGTGTCGTCCAGGAGGTGAGCGTCAGGGCCTGTGCCACAGCCCAGCATGCGCAAATGGCAGCCCTGGTGGCCTGGGCTGCCAGCTTCTGAGCCGCACCAAGAGCATCATTTGCTTGCCAGCATTCATGTGGCCCACTGCATCCCGCCTGCCCATCTTGGATTGCAGTCATGCCAACCTGCCGGTCATGCTGCGCGAGCTGCGGGCCAACCTGGCAAAGTGCACCCTGCTGGCGGGCGTGGTGGCGCCCGGCGTACTGGGGCGAGACACGGGTGCGCCCCACATGCCTGGGTGCCTCTGGCCCAGCTGCGCCTGCTCCTCCCATCCTCTGCGCCCGCTTGGGCCCCTGTTTTGCGCCTGCCGGTCCACTGCTCGCCCTGCGTGCCTTCCTGCCTTCCCGCCTGCCTGCAGAGCGCGGCAGCATCAAGGAGGTGGACAGCGTGGAGCGCGTGGGGCTGGTGGTGTCTGTGCTGCACCTGCCGCCGGGCTCGTCCCTGCACGCGGCGCTTATCAATGACGGCCTGACGCCAAACTACTCCAACCCAGACTGGCAGCCTCCTGAGGGCGAGCTTCCGCACGGCCCGGCCAAGCACACGCGCACCTGGCTGGTACTCAGCGACCGCCATGCACACGTGGACGGCGTGCTGCAAGAGGTGCGGGCGGGTGCTGCAGCACAGGCCACGCTGCGCACGGGTGGGCCACGCCTGCTGTGTGCTTTCCTGCAGCTGCTGCCGCAGACTGTCGGTGACCACCGCTGGAGCTCTGCTTGTCCTATGCCCCTGCAGCTTGGCCGGCGGTATCCAGGCGAGGCAATTTGCGGGTGAGTAGCAGAAGCTCTTGGTTCGTTGTAAACGCAGCAGCAGCAACAGGCTTGCTTTCTACCTCTTTGGCTGTCGGTAAAGGGCGGCACCTGTTCCAAGCCGTGCTTCATGCGCGTGGCTGGTACTGCTGCTGCTGTGCAGGGGGATGGGGGGTGGCACCGATGGCACCTCCTCCCTGCTGGTGGGCCTGCCGGGGCGGACGGCTGAGCAGAAGCTGCACGCCGAGGTGACGAGCGGCACCCTCCTGCTGAGCATCAGCGGGCCTGGAATTGAGGCAATGCCCCTCACAGCACGTGGCATGCGCTGCATCTCCCAGGCAAGTGGAGCAGGCAGTGCCGGGGCTGGCAGCAACAGCCTTTTGCCGCCCAATGCTTCCATTCCCATCACGATCACGTGCTAGGCCATGCTCTGCAAAAAATGCAAGCTGCACATGTTGGCGACACCCACCCCCACCCTGTTAGGCCCTGTGTTCCCTGCCTCCCCTCTCCCCTACTGCCCTGTGCAGCGCTTCATGGTGTCCCAAGTGTCGGCCAACGTTGACCTGTCGCCTGTGGGGCGCGTGACGCTGGTGCAGCAGCTGCAGAACAGCATCTCGCTGGCCACTGGGGCGGGTGAGCCGGCATGCGCCGTGCCGCTGATTGCGGTGGGCTTGATAAGCCCAGCGACAAGGGCCAAGGGCCAGTCGACTGTGTGCACAGTGGTGGCTGAGGGAGGGTAGCGAGTCGCATACTCACACACGTATGCTTCACCCTTGCTGCGCACACTGATGTCTGCCTGCTGTCCTGCCCCTGCCCCGCAGACAACCTGACCTGGGTCCCCGTGGGCGGCAGCTTCACCCCCACCAGCGCCCTGGTAGCGGCGCTGCAGGCACAGGGTGCCAACGTGGCGCCGCGCGCGCCGCTCTTCTTTGGCGTGCGCTCCCCGGGGGTCAGCCAGGGGGAGGACGACCCGTGCAAGATGGTCATGCTGCAGGTGGGGGGTGGGCCCGGGCGTGGGGTGGCCTGAACAGAGCTGCGCCTGCCGCTGCTGCCTGGCTCCTCTGGCACTAGCTGCACGCTTGTCGTCGTCGTCATCGCCATCGCTTGCCTGGCGTGTCTGAGCGTTGCCCTGCCGCCGCGCCCCTGCCCCTGCCCCTGCCCACAAACAGATGCACGACCCCAACAACCTGATGCGCACCAGCGGCTATGTCAGCGTGCAGCATCCGGTGGAGCGGGGCATGATTGCGGCCTTCTACACGCCGCAGCCCAGCCTGAGCAGGCTGCAGCTGCAGGCGCGGCTGACGGCGAGGGCCGAGCAAGTGCGCAGCAGAGGTGGGTGGGTTGGGATTTGCTGCCCCTGGGGGCCTGTCGGCGGACAAGCCGCCGTTCAGCGCAGGTGCACACTCGGGAGGGCATCCGCAGCTGTGGCATGGCGGCACGCTGCTCCTCGCCGCTTTGGGTGGGACCGGCCTGGCCGCAGCCGCCACCACCTGTCTGCACCTGCCTGCAGACTACTCGGAGGAGGTGAAAACGGATGCGGGATACCTCGGCAGCGTCTCATCAGACAGCATCCACATGGTGCGAGGGCCGGGGCCGTATGTGGTACCGTAGCTTCCCTGCTGGTACCCTGTTGTAGGATTGTCACCTGCCAGTGTGGCGGAGGAGCACTCGAGTGGCTGTGCCCAACCGTGATGCTGTATGCGCTGGTCCCGCAGGTGCTTGATGTGAAGCCGGCGCCGGTGTACGGCTGCCTGCTGTTCCCTTGCGTGGCCAAGGGGCAGCGATACTACGACGAGGCCGATGTGGAGACGCAGATGGTGCAGGTGCGTGGCTGGGGTGGAGGGCTGAGACCGCTCGCAGCCGATTCCCGCTCTTGCTGGCCAGCAGCTGGATGTGTGCAGTCTGGGGCGTTGCTGGTCGCATGGGTTGGCGATGCCGCCACGGGTCGAGAAAGGAGCGGCGACCTGGCACGGCTGCCAATCGCTGGTTCCGACCGCCGGCGTGGCCTCGCTCTGCGTGCAGTCCAACTTCCCGGGCGCCGCCATGTGCGGGTTCTTCTGCAACGGCGAGATTGGGCCCTCGCCGCCAGATGAGCTGGCGCCTGGGGAAGCCCAGGAGGCGCGGATGATGGGCTACAGCACAGGTGCGGGTCGGGAACCAGTCACTGCTTGGTGCTGGTGAGCTCCGCACACAGGCAGTTTGGCAGCAAGTCGGAAGCCTGTTCATCAGGAAGCATTGCCATTGATGTGCCTCCCTGCTCCTTCGCTCTGTGCAGTGGTGTGCATGCTGAAGCTCAGCCCGGCGCCGCCGCCACCAGCAGATTGGGCCCGATGATGGCATTGCGCCCACCCTGCTTACCTGTGTGTGTTTTGTGCCTCCTTGTCCTAGCAATACTCCTGATGCATTTCAATTGCAACAAGTTGTATTTTCTTTCTTCCACTCCTTTGTCATTCGACCATAACCGTTGATCAACCAACCCGCTGGAGTGTTTCTTCTCTGGCTCCCTCACTCTATCAATACTCACATTTGCGATTGCTACCCATCGCATGGGCGCTTCCTATCCCCCGCGTTTGATGATGTGGCCTGGTGGATCAGGCCAAGTACCAAGCATCATTGGCTGGCTAATGTTTGCTCACGTGGGGATTTTCCCGTGACCCCCGTCTGCAGCAGCCTGTTGTTTCTGTGGCGGCACCGCCCTCTCTAGTTCATCATCATGTAACAACCCATGGCACTGGGCAGGGGAGAGTAGAATCATCGTGCCATATTTTCTTAACTGCGGCTGCAAAAGGGATGCTGTGGGTGGGGGTGGCCAAACAAGCTGGCAGCACTGTCAACAGCTCCTGCAGGTAGGCCTCCCGGTAAGGATGTGCCCCATGATGGGCATGATGGCCCCCCACCTGGAGGGTCATTGGGGACATCATCCTCAATCATGCATCATTCTCCCTCCCGTTTGTTCTGTTGGCATCCCAGCAACCGTAATACGCTTTTCCAACGAACTCAACCCCCATGAGCACACATGAGCATGGTGCCCAGTCCGGCAGCAAGGCTCTAGGTCCAACGCCGCTATTGAGCGGTGCAGCTAACCAAGCTAAGCAGCTGAAGTCGCGCTTCAACTCGTGGGAAAGGTTTTGTGAAGCACATCCACAGGCGCGCGTCGCCATCGCCGTTCAGTCAGGCTACTCCCACGAGATCAAGTTCTTTTGCCATTCCATCGTGTTCTGGGAGGAGTTCAAGGACTTCTTCACTGAGCGGTGCGCCGCCGCCGGCAGCCGCTCCGAGCGGTCGCGGCTGAAGGGCGAGCTGGGCAAAGCAGGCATTGATTTCAGCAAGTTTCTGGCTTTGGCAATAGACCTGTGGAAGGCAGAAGGTGTTATCTCTCAGTTACAGGCAGATGTCATGATCAAGCTGGCAACGGGCACTGCATTCGACACGGATGGTAAGCCGGGCTGCCTTTGCCCGCTGGCATGCCTCGCTTCTCGCCTCTCGATGCTA